CATTATTCTTAGATGAAGTATAATGATAAAGGCCTATTTGACTATTATGTGGTGCATTGCATTCAAACCAAAAACCAACCAAAACTTTTGTAAAACGTATGTAAAGCACATGTAAAAGGGCATCACAGTGTTTATAATTACTGCACAATGTTTTGTTGTGTAATTTAAATTTACCTGTAGTCATTTGAAAACCTGTAGTAGAAGTAATTGATGATGATGATGGGCGTGGCGATGAAGTCGAAGAGCTGGTTTGTATGGGAGTGGTGGCAGGCAGTTTCCTAGTTCCATTTGAATAACACTGGCTTTTTACAAGTACTTTCCAAAGACAAGCCTTTCTGGCTGAATCAAAGTAAGATGCCGGCGAACATAGATGTACTTTTGCATTTCCACTTGTGCACTGGTAATACATGTTACAATTCTGAAGTGCGTATATCCCATCCTTCTTATCAGCACATGTGACCTCACTGTCAGTTGGTGAAGGTTGGCTTGCTGATGTACTGCTGTATGTTGTAGTTGATACCCTATACGGAGATGTTGAGAGTGGAGTGGTGCTTGTTCCAGGAGTACTGGTTGTATAGATATGTGTGACTCCTGAAATCACCCTTACTCCATCTGGGTAACATTCGTCTTGAACCAAATCATATGGGAGACAGTCTTTCCGATCTTTGTCATAGAATGTGTTTTTTGCACAACTTGTTGCAGCTATAAGACGTCCACCACTGCAATGGAAGTAGTTGATGCAGTTCTCTGGATGAGGGTAGAATCCACTTGTTTTTCCTCGGCATGTAAATGAAACATAACTTGGTCTTGGAGGTGCTCTAGTTGTTATACTGGTAAATGGTGTTCTTGTTATTTTTGTGGTAATTTCACTTGTCACATAATAACTCTCTGTGCTACTCACCAATGTTGATGATGGTGTAGATCCCGTTCTCATAGATGTAGTCCCAGTAACAGATGGTATGGATAGCGATGCTTGGCTGGGTGTGGATTTGGTTTGCCCTGTCACAGCATAGCTTTCTGTACTATTCACTATTTTTGATAATGATGATGATGATGATGAGCCTGTTCTTTCAGATATCGTTTCAGTAACAGGTAGTATAGAAACTGCTGCTTGATTGGGAGGTGTGAACGTTGTTTGCCCTTTGTTTAGTTCTACAGTACTTAAATCTTCAGGGTTTGCTGTTGTTGTCTGTGTACTTGTTTCATCGCCAGGTCTGCTTTTCATAGTTGACTGTGTACTTCCACTTAAAAGAGCACTACTTTTTGACGTTATTTTTGTTGTTGTTGGAGAAAGCATGCCAGTAGCCTCTTGACTCCCTGCACTCTCTGTCGACAGAGTTGTCTGTCCTGTTGCTGTCATATTTGTCATGATTAATTCTGGAGTTGTTGTTTTTTGTGTCGGTAATGTAGATAGTGTTTGAGAACCAGGGTCTCTGCTAACCCGTGTTGTATACGTTGTGGTGGAAATTGTTGTTTGCAGTTGTATACGTTGCCCATACTTCGGATGATCAGGTATTACATAGCATTGGTCAATCACCAGTGTAATTTTATCGTATGAGACACAGTTATTTGTATTAGCATCCCAGAAACTGCTTCCGCTACATGAGACTATTGTATCAATACCATCTGTACAGTTGTGACCTCGAAGACAAGACTCGTGGTCAGGATATAGCCCGTCTTCCTTTCCCTCACATGTAAACAAAGGCTGAGTTGAAGGAATTGAAGCTGTTGTCCTGTTTACTGAATCATCAGACTTTCTGGTGCCGTTGAAAAAGCACTTCTCACTGGCAAATTCAAAAGTAATGCATCGTTGCTCTTGTGCAATAAAGTATGTTTCTGGAGCGCACTTAAAATGACCAACTAATTGATCTAGGTAGCAGAGAAAATAGTTTGTACAATCACTTTCACTTGGATGAAGTGTATTTTCTTTACCATTGCAGTCAAAAGGCGGAGTTAGTACACCTCCATTAGCTGTTGGCTGTTGTTGTTGTTGTTGTTGTCATGCTTATTTTAGCTTGTGTTCTGTCAAAAGATGCTGTAGTTTCCAATTCCTCAACTGGTTTTGATGTTGTAATTTCTGTGTTGTTCCAGTTGTTATCACTGCCTGCTACTGTTTCTGCTGTGGTCCTTGTCGCAGCTTTGACTGTAATTGTGCCAGCATTCACAGTAGTTTCCAGGTCCCTCAATGTTTCTGATGTAGTCATTTCTGTATTTGTTGTTGTTTTTTGTGCTGTCTCCCTAACTGATTCTGTTGAGGTCATATCTGTATTGCTTGTTACCTCTTCTCCAGTTGGTGTCATTGTTGTTTCTTGTACTGTTTCAGCAGATGCTGTTGTTTTCAGTTGTCCCATCACTTTTGATGTTGTCATTTCCGTATTGTTTAATTTATTTTCACTTGGCGTCATTGTTGCTTCAACTTGCGTTGCTTCAGCTGATTCTGTTGTTTCAAGAATATTTGCTGTCTTTGGTTTGGTCATATTTGTATTGTTTAAAGTATTTAAACTTGCTGCTGCTGTTGGTGTCATTGTTGTTTCTTCTGTTGTCACAGCTTTCACTCGAGTTGACTTAGCAGGTACTGTTGTTTCAATGATATTAACTGTTTTTGATGTGGTCCTTTCTGCATTGTTAAGGTTATTGTAACTACCTGTTGTTGCTGTTTTGAGTGTTGTTACTGGTGATGGTGGTTGTGTTTCAGCTATCACTGTCTCAGTAGATACTAAGGCTTTGTAACTATTTTCTGGCGTTGGCGGCATCATTGTTGTTTCATCTGGTGTTCTTGTTGTGGTCATTTCTTTGTTGTTTAATTTACCATCAAGAGTGCCTGTTGCTGCTGTTGGGTTTGTTGTTGTTGATGCTTGTGTTGCCTCAGCAAATACCGTGGTCTCCATTTCCTCAGTTGTTTTTAATGGGGTCGCTTTTGTAGCATTCAAGATATGTTCTCCAACTATTTGTGTGATTGGTGGTGATGTAGTTGTTGCTGTTTGTGTAGTTTTTGTAGCTGCTGTTCCATCGGGCGTAGTGACAACAGATAACGTTGTTTCTACTCTTCTTGTTGTGGTCATATCAGTGTGTACTACGATACCATCAGTCCCTATTGTTGGTGTAGGTATCATTGTCACTGCTGATTCGTCTACTGATGACGTTGTATCTGGAGTGGCAAACGTAGACATATCTGTTGTCCTGTCAACTTGTATCCCTTGTGTTGCTGCATCTGGCATGTTTGTTTCAGTGACATCTGTTTTCTGACTAACTGCTACAGTATTTTCTGTTGACACTGTCGTCTCTTCCTGTGTGGTTATATATGTCTTCACCAATGGTGTTGTTAATGTTTCTTGTGTAATTAAGGAGGATGATGTTTGATGACCCTGTATGCTGGTAGCTGCTGTAGTTATTGTTGATATTTTTGTTAACATTTGTGGATCTGAAATGTTGGTTGCATTAGTTTCTTCCCCTAACATACTCGTAATCTCTGCTGAGCCAGCTGAAGTGGTAGATTCGGTTGATGTAGTTTCAGTTTCCTGAGATTCCGTCTCTCCTGGCGTTGTGGACATTTTCATATTCTTTTGAGTTGTAATTTCTGTTATGCCTGGTTCTGTCGATTCGCCTGTAAGCGTGACAGGTGTTCCAGCCTTTACAGTCGTTTCCTGCTGGTTCGACCCTATTGGTTTTGTTTGTTGCACCTTCCCAGTCGATGTGGTAGTTACTGGGCTGATTCCTATCGGTTCTTGTGTTGATAATCCTAAATTAGTACCTACAACAGTTCTGGTCTCTGATGTGGTTGGAATGGCATCTGTGGACTGGTCATTTGTTGATGAATGAAGACCTTGTGTTGTTTCATCCAAGGCATCGGTGATAGCACCTGTCGTTTCTGTAACTGCCAATGTTGTTTCCTGTCCACGGTCAGTTATACCTTTTGTTGCTGAATTAGAACTTGATGTAAAGTTCTCAGAGCCTACCTGAAAACTAACGGAAGTTGTTACCTGCTTGGCAGAGCTACCTGCAGTGATGTCCACCTCACTGGTCTCTGAAAGTGACAAGTCTATTCATCAATAATTTCATATACGCGTGCGCAGTTTCCGGTTATTTCTCCCACCAGCAGCACCACCAGCAGTAACAGCGGCAGCGGGGGTTCCCGTGTGTTTGATCTCATTTCACCAACCAGGGAGTAAGCAGGTATGTTATTCACAGACTTCATACAGTTAGATTCCCATTCCTTCAACGAAGATGCTGACAGTTACATGGTCACGACGACATGAGGTATTTATTTCCTTTGCATGTTTCCATTTATCATTCTGTTATAATATATACCAGGTCCTCATATATGAGTTGGTACATGTATATCACATAGTGTATGCATTGTATACACAACATGGTGTGCAATTGGGTGTTTTATATGCATGTTAGATGGAAAGGGTATAATGTATACATGGTTTACAGTAAAGGGTCACTGGGTGTTGGGAATGGTTAGGTTACGAATAAGATAAATGAACTTTTTATAACAACTACACACTTGCATGAGGAGGGAATATGTGTGAAAGTGCTTTTTGTATGGCAATGAGACGGTAAAGTGAAAAGCGTAGTAAGTTGTTTAAAGAGAAAGCGAAACTCACCTGCGTCAGGGAATAGACAACGAAGTGTTTGTTTTATAAAGACACACATGTGGTATATATAGCCAAGAGGATGAATTATGTATATACACGGGGAAACATAGAGCTCTGCCTGTGCTTGGTATCCTCAACCTACACCCTATAAAACAGGTGCGTGACGTGACACGACGGAGGGCCGATAGTGATGGGTCACAAACACGAAGACATAACTTTCCCAGGAATTCAGCAAGTTCCTTCCGCACCATTGCAAGGAAAAGCTTATTGGTTTCATTACATCACGCATTGTTTAAGTATACGTAAATTTGTTGTACATATACTGATAAATTTAGGCCTTTTTATATATTTATTAAGACAATGTCCCATTTTATTCATTGAGCAAGGGTTTGGGCTTACCTGGCGGTCGAGATGTTCTGGTGGAGCCTGAAGAAAACAAATAGTGACCTTAAGTTGACCTTTTTGGTAATACTATTATTGAACATAGGTGAATATGCATTTTGTCTGCACATAGCCGTCTTTATTTGCTGTTATGACCACCTCTTAATACCTTTGAGTGCAAACATAGTCATCTACGTTACAACATCACTTTAACATTATATCCTATTAAGTTCTTATGCAATTCTCTAATGAGATAATATTTTTTTTAAAAACAGGTAAATATTTGCTCAACATCAACCACATCCAATCATACTATTCACAAAGGAAATTACCTTGGCATGATTTGATGCAAATCTTTTCCTGTGACACAGCTCTGAAACTGTGGTAATTCAGGTCGCCGCTGTTAGACAAAGTTCCTTTGGAATATAAGAAATAGTAACAGGCATTGTCGCTGAATAGAACGTCGGCACCGTCCCCTGTCCGACGAGGACGGTTAAATGAAATGGACGCTCGTCCATTAACGAATTGTCCAGAGACGCCATTGAAGTTCTGGGAAGTGTCAGGTGTGGGCTTAGCATAGGCGTACATCCATCTGAAAGATCATTTTTCATATGAAATTTAACAGGTTTTAAGTAATTAAAACAGCGACATTCTAAGAAGGGTTGTCAAATGTTATCTCCAGCTGTTTAAAATGAAACTGATTTTTTAATCCATTTGACAATCCGACAGTTAATAAGAATCATATTACTGGCAACATGATGATATGGAATTGTTTTTACCTGTCGCTAACCGTTGCTTGTCCGTTGCTATTGTAATATGCTATCATTGCATCGCTTGCAGGCTGAAGGAAAAAACAAAACAAAAAAGATTATTAATTGTAATACTAGTCAAATGAAAATATACTGGATGCTGTGAAAGGGCCTTATCAAGTGCAGTCAAAAATTGAACTGATACAGACGTGTAATATATCACTCTTGAATGTTACCAAAATACAGTGTATGACAAAACGACAACAAAGTGCAGTATTTCACATACAGTGTTGACGTACAAAACATATTAAGTCTTTTGTATTTATCATACCATTTTCCTGTCTTGTGAGAATCCAATTCCCATCCATTCTCCTTGTCTTGCGCCCTCTAGGGTGAATCTGATCTCATCAGTGGCGTCATTCAGTTGCCAGGATACGCGGTACGCACAGTCGGTGGTGCCGCACGTGCTCGGGGTCTTCTGTTCACCGCTACATACGTCTACTCTACCGCCCATTGAGACTAAAAAGCGAAGTTTCAGAAGTAAGTATTACCTCTGCGAAATATGTAAAACTCCTGTATCAGTGTATTTTTAGATGTTGTTTATCGAATCTCTGCGCCCTCCAGCTTGACGTTTTTTTGGACATGTCGTTTTTTTTACCAGAATTTTGTGATTTTTTATTTCGACTCCGCTTTTTATTAAAAGAGCTTTTGTTGCACTTCATTTTGTCAGATACATCAAAATATTTAAATGCTGTGAAGAACAGAAAACATATTGGTTATACGTTCAAGTGACAGATACTTGACAAAGAAAATAAATTTTATCAGTATTTTGTAAATATAATGAATGGGTCATTTGTATTATATTCACACTCTGGTACGGACGAGGGTTATTGATTTTGTATAACAACATGGCATTTACGTTAGTTGAGAAACGTGTTAAATCTGCCTCCTTCACATTACGCATACAGTATGCACAAAGTGATCTTTAAACATCATTATATTTTCTAAACTAATGGCAAATCTAATACCTCATCCTTCTGTTACGGATTTCTAAGTATTGTGATATGTGCTAAAAGAATAACATCATTTTACGCTACATAAGTTCTAACCAAGCACCAGAAGCAAGCTCTGCTTTCTCGTCTAAACTAAAAACTGCCCAATAACATGAAACTTGTTTGCACAGTTTAAGTAGATTGACGCACGCCACACGTTTCTTTCTCCTGGGTGAAAGTCACAAAAATATATATGGTTAGCCATGTGATGTCACATATAAACCTACCTGTCCCTGGCGTCGTTCGTCGAGTGGTTGTAGTCCTTCTTGTGGTAGTGGTACGTCGGGTGGTGGTGGGTTTGGGCGTAGTAGTGGTAGGTCTAGTGGTTGTAGGAGTGGGAGTGGTCGTTCTAACTATAATAAGCAGGCAATTTCTACGGTAACTACGTAGGCAGGGCAAAATATAACACTACGATACTGTAATACTAGACTACAGCTCGAACGTAAAAATTAACACTAATACAGTCTAACAATTAAAGCCTTCCGTTTTGAATGATATAAAAATTTAAATAATATTTTAATTGGCAGCAGGGTTGCGTTGAAGTGGGTATGGCAGAGTTTATTGGTTCTGTTTGGATTAAAGATCTTTTGCAATATTTTAAACAATGATATAGCATGTTCCTTTCGAACACGTTGCTTATGGATAAAACTGAAATGAAGATGGGGATTGTGCGCTGCCCAAATCGATGCACCCCTTCTGCCTTTTGGAAAATTCTTTAAGCATTTACTAAGCTAATAAATACTATCTATTAATCTTTATCCATCAACATAAACAACGCAAGCTCTCCTTTATATTTTGTTGTTAAAAAGATAAACGTAATTGAAGAAGCTTTTTTTCTGGGAGGGGGGAGATAACTTCATCAAAGCTAAGGCGCAAAGCTTCTGACACGAGCGTTCACATTAAGCTTCATAGATAGAGACCAAGCAAAACATCAAAACAGGACGGAAAAAAGCAAGCAAGGCACGCTTTAAGATATACGCACCCTCCACGCGTTCACCAAATATATTACACTCTTTAACAATGGTTCTTGGTCTGCAGGATGATCCCGTGGAAAAATAGTTGCCTATGCACGGCTGTGGTTCTGTAGGCGCCCAGTTCACACAGCTGTACCAAAGACTGCAGTTCGTGGGATGTGGAATGAACAGCGTGGTGGCAGCGGGGCAGAGAAGTGGGACAGGTCTTCTCTTCCCGGTTGGTGTGCACTCTTCATACAAAGTGCTTGCAGATTGGCAGATGGCATTTTTGGCGTCAAGGAATCGTCCTGGTGGACACTTAAGTTTGGAATATTCACCGCTGCGGCACTGGTGAACTATGGTGCAGTCGTCTTCGTCTGGGAACCACTGGTTGCCCTTGTTTGTGCAGTCGAATTCTGGCTTAGCTGACGGTCGGAGATAAATTTGATGCTTTGAGACTTCATTGTGTGCATTTAGCATGTAGCGTGAAGTTTTTTTACGTTAATTGAAAAGAATGTTAATTAAAATAGTTTTTGCAATATGTTATTACGTGTGATAATAAAATCAGTGGCAAGAAGATAACTGTAATTTGATAATTAATTTAGCACATTCAGCTGATGTAACGTTGGTACATGCCAAGTCGCAAATTAACACTGTCGCCATGTTTGTGTCTTGTAAAACGAAACTGCCTTGATTCAGTTGCTAAAATAGGGTGTTAATTTCATTTTTGGACACTTGGAATTAATCGACAGTTAAAGATTAGTTTGTCACACGGTGGTTTGTTTTGTTTTTTTTTTATTGAAACGCCCTTCTAACGTCATGCTTATTAGAATCGGAGTGCCCTCTTTGCTGGAATCGTAAAACATTTTATGTTGAAAAAAACCCACCCCTTCCATAAATTCAGAGAGACACGAGAGAAGTTGGTTAATAGTTACGATAAACTTTGTGTTATTCATTTAATTGAAATTGGAAGGTGATTCATTATTATCAGAAATGCACACCATACTGAGAAGAACAGATAAGCCCTTCACGCTGAAACATCAGGGTCTCAAGATCCATTTTATTTTGCAAACGTGATAGAAGTGAAAACCATTCGGTTAGTGTTACGTTACAAATCTGGAAAACAAATTTTACGCGGCCATTTTGCCGCCATGCCGTGAAAGAAGGAAACGTCCTTCTCCATGCTTTTGTTTAAAAGAGAACTTAGTAAAGAGCCCAAAGCAGTCAAAACACAGTCTCTTATAAATGTTGTTCCATCATGGCCCATGCCTTCATCAATATCAAAACTCCCGATGCAATGTTCGGCATCCATATATCCAAGAGTCCACTCATCCACGAGCGTGCGAAAACAGTTGACGTCATTTAACGTCATTTATCATCCACCTTATTAGTTAACTGTTAGTAACGTTGACAACTAGGTATTAGGAGGCGGGGCGATTAAAATTGTGGGTGGGTTTAAGTTATGATTGACATCTAGTATGATGTCGTTATCCGCCTGGGAGGAAGATTCAGCAGATAATACATCTGCTTTCGCCCTGAGTTTCAGAGAACTGACTATCAATGTTCCCCATATATCCAGCGCAAGCTTGCCGTCACTCTTAATGTCCAAGGATTGACATTTACTCTACATAAACTTGTTTTCTGACACCAAGGTTTCACACAGTGTCCTAATTTTAAGAATGACACGTCTATAGGTTCTCAGCCAACTTGATGTCTTTACACGAAAGCAACGACAAGTGTTTGCTATTGTACAGAGGGGACGGCGTCAGTACTCCGAAACAAAGGTTATATTAATGCCTTCTGTCACTTAGCTTTTTTATTTATATCAGGCAAAGTATTTGCTAAACTGCTCTTACCTGTTGTCGTTGTGCGTGTTGTTGTGGTCGTGGGGCGTGTGGTGGTCGTGGTTGTATATCTTGGGGCTGTGGTGGAGGGAGGTTCAAGTGTTGTTGTGAATGGTGGAACAACAGCTGAAAACAAATCAAACGGGTAAAATAAGTTATATCTAGGCATGATTTATGTGAATATATAGGTCTATATTTATTGTGAAAAACATTGAAGAAATCTGAAGAACTCGAATACTATTAGCTGCTTTAAAGGAACGCACACCGACTTTTCTAGACATTTTCTTGAAAATTTTGATAAGCGAGTATACACGCCAGGTACCGCCACCAACAGAGTGAGACACTCCCTTTTTTAGCCCATGCATAACCCAGGGGATACCTACCGCCAGCTCGCGTGCCGTGCTCGTTACACTCCGTTACTTCGTCCCGCGGCTTGCACCCACTCACAGACGAGTACCAGTTCTGTATGCACATTCTGGCCTCCGTGGGTCTACCCTGCATACAGCTGTACCACAGCGAGCAGTTCATAGGATGTGGCACAAACAAGAGGTTGATATTCATATTGGGGCACGTAAGGGGTTCGGGAATCCTTGAACCATCACCATTGCATTTTCCGTTCAGATTATTGGGTGGTTGACACTGCTGTCGATCCTCATTTAGGTAATAACCTTGGAAGCATTGGCGGCGGGTGTATATGCCCTGGCTACACTGGTGAATTACTCTACAGTCCCAGGGATCGGAATGCCAACCGTCACCCTTCTCGTAGCAATCTATAGGAAAGAGGCCGGGTAAGGTATAGGTAAGGTACTGGGTATTTGATAAATGATACATGAATACTGTATATTTATACGGCGATTGGTATGAAGTAGCATGGCAATGAAGCAGATACAAACAATCTCAGTTCTTGTACAAAAATAATTCCTTTTCTTGACTGTTTTGACAGTCGTCAACAGGTCTTGATTGCAAAGAACTGAGACGTTTCATAACTTGAGTAATTCCTTTATTGCTGAATAGTGGTAAACGAGAGGGCATAAAGGTGTGTGTTGCGAAGCAGGGGAAAGGATTTACTGGATATTCATAGGGATCTGATTCAGCAGACAACATTTATAAGCATGTGATTTTATTATAACGCTTGAAACCGTTTCCTGAGGCGAAATTTTCTAGCCTAATTTGTCTAATTGAGCCTAATTTGTCATGACAGTTTTGAAGTAAAAGACATCTTTTCACAGAATCGTTTTTTAAAAACGACACTAGCTTCTGCTTGCCAGAATCGATTTTGAAAAACGAAACGTGACACTATCGACACTAAATTCAGTGCCCCCCTTTTGACATTATGCATTGCGCATTCAGAATATCATTTTTATGAATGCCTTTCGTAATCCGTTTTGTAATCTGTTTTCCTTGTTTTACTTACATGATGCCCCTGGAGCAAGTGTAGGGCCGGGAGTTCTGGTCGTAGCCTCTGCCTGTAGGGTACGGGTTGTGGCAGGGGTCGTGGGTTGTGTGCGAGTGGGGGCACGAGTAAAGGCGGTCACTGGTCCGCTCGCTGGAGTGAAAAGAATTCAATTTTTTTATTGATGAGATGAACAAAAAAGTGGTTTCGGTGTGTGTGCTCCAAGAGCACCTTGAGAAGCCTGACCATGAACTTCAGTCTTAAGTCATCACACCTCATGGTAGAAACTGGCAGATAAATGGATAAGATAATATACGGGGAGAAATATGGATAACTATATGCAAGCTGATATGTAAAGCTATGAACTAAAACTACAGTAGCAATAGTATAGTTAAAGCTATGATATAATATTTCTACAGAGTAGAATTACAAACGTGGGTAAAAATTAATACTTAAAGGGGGTATATTGATGCTTAAGAATAATATACTGAAAAAAATAGAAAGTTGATAAAATGGTGAGTGTACATGTATTCTGAATGTTAAGGACATCATGTGATTAAAAACCCAAAGTTCCAGCTAAAAACGATTTACACTGCCAAAGACAACACATACCACGAAGGAGTAAGAAAAATGCGGGACATTTAATCAAACCTGAAAAGCATGCAAACAATCTTTGAGATATTTGTATCCTTTGTTTCATACTGATGTCAATGACCACTTTGTGGGTGGTTAAATTTACCTTTAATACGTCACAATTCAATGTGTGTTGCGTCATGGCCACGTGCTATTTTTTATGATCACTATTTTACGATCATCAGTAAAAAGGACAGGATACCAAATATCTCAAAGATGAATCCCTGTAACAACTGCCTCGGAAGCAGCGTGAGGCAAGATTATGCCGCACGATAACCACCCTGTGATTCAGAGCCGTAACTGAAATTCCCTTCAACACAATTGGTCTGTGCTGTGAACAGATGGGTTCATATGAATCATCTTTACAGCAGGGTACATCCAACCGCACATGTAACACTTCGTTCACTCCGTCAGAATCGCAGTGACAACACTAAACATGTGTCATTAGATATTCTTTGGTACTGTTATACATTAATAAGGATAGAGTTAGAATGGAAAAACCATAAACCAAACATGGAAACAACCTGACTGTCAGTTAGGTTTACCCATATCACATTTTATTGCAAAAATGCTGACACATTGGCGTGGAGACAGACACCAAACGTGATACGCTCCATCAACGTGCATTAAAGGACAGTCACAGAACCATGCGAAGTGTTATTTGAACAGAAAAAATGACTCCAGATGACGTCGAGTCCATTCTCCATGCACAAGAAACACGATGTCTTACCACGCGGTGTAGTTCGCAGCAGAATCCTTTGGCGAGTACGCTGGGTCACACGTCGGGTAGTGGTTCTTCTTGTGGTAGTTGTGGGTCTTGTTGTGGTAGTGCGCCGTGTGGTGGTTGTGGGCCTTGTTGTCGTTGTTCGTCGTGTAGTGGTTGTGGGTCTTGTTGTGGTTGTGCGCCGTGTGGTGGTTGTGGGTCTGGTTGTGGTTGTTCGGCGTGTAGTAGTAGTAGTGGTTGTGGGTCTTGTTGTGGTTGTGCGCCGTGTGGTGGTTGTGGGTCGGGTTGTGGTTGTTCGGCGTGTAGTAGTGGTTGTGGGTCTTGTTGTGGTCGTGCGCCGTGTGGTGGTTGTGGGTCTAGTGGTAGTTGTACGGCGTGTAGTAGTTGTGGGGCGAGTTGTAGTAGTGGTAGTCGGTTGTGTTGTTGTTACCCGTTGTGTTACCCTAGGCGTAAACATGTTTGGCGCAGGTGTTACCCTATTACTGGGTAATATGATTGCTCGACCTGATATTTGTTAAAAGTATAGATAACATACTAATATAATCTGTTCAAAATCACCTTTCATTTTATATATATATGTCTGTATAAACTGATATTTTGCATTGAAGTATAATTCCTGGAAATGAACCTATTTTTGATGAAATTAACCTAAAGATAATAAGACAGAATATTATATTTATAACATGCTTGTTATCGGCATTTTCAAATCTGAGAAAAAAGATGGTAAATTAAGATTCAGTATGAAATTAGAAATTCGGTTAAAAGTTGAAGATGGATAAAACTTCTTTGATGTTGAATTAGTAACTGGGTTTTTGAAGTTTGTTTTTTTTAAGTCTGCAGTAAATCGAAATGTAAGTGCCTTTAAAATTGACTAAAGAACTACAGCAGAGTATTGGTGAATTACAATGCATTTGTTGCTCATGTTAGTCAACTCTAGGGAACTAAAATTTTAAACTAAAAGAAATTCAAAACTCAAGCAATAGATACTTACTGCAACTTTTGATGCATATTTTTTCCTCTGACGTTGTTTTAAATGTGTGATGCCGCAGACGACGCCTCACCACGTCACCGCCGGCCGCATAATGGAAGTAATAACAATCATCATCGCTAAAGGCGTAATCTCTTACGTCTCCCGTGTTTCTGGCCCTAACAAAACTGAAAATGGCCTGGCCGTTAACGTATCGGCCCTGGATATTTCTCAGATCTTGCTGACTGTCGCTGCTTGGTTCCTCTTTGAAAAACATATACCTGTGCAAGGAAATGTGATTCTGAAATTATCCATTGGTCGCGTCGTTGAATTTGGTGGTTGTGAATTTTGTTGTATTAATCTAGATTTATGCCACCAGTCGCTCAGAGTTTATGACGATTTCAACTGATACATGTATAAGCAAGCGTGCATTAACACACAATTTATCTCTAAAATTTCCCCAAAACGCCTTTATAAACCTCAAAACTCGAATTATCGATGTTTGTTCCTTACCTGTCGCTAACCCTCACAATTCCATCAGGGGTGATATAGGCAGTAATAGCATCGCTTCCCACCTAAAATGTGTACATATACATGTAGTGTCCGTTTCTTATCTCAGCGCTATTCCAAAACCTATGACAGCCTTGTGGGTAACATGTAGCCATAGTTGCACCCTCGCCTGTTGTTTGCACACTATAATCCTACGAGCCACTTCTGTCACAATAACTCTCAATGTATAATTTTATTTCAACTAGTTTTTAACAAATATTTGTCTAAGACAAAGCAATCACGCAACTTGTAATCATTCTAAATCCTAACCCAAAGCTAGATACTAACCATGCGTTTATCGGTAGAAAACCCAATGGCCACCCACTGATCTAGACCGATTGTTGCGGTGAGGGTGAATGTGATATCGTCTGTCTGATCATTGTAATCCCAGGTGGCCTTGTAAGCACAGTCTGTGTCCGTGCACCAGTTGGGGCGCCTGTACTGCCCTCTGCAGGGCCCTTCCATGGCGGATGAGCCTGTGGCTTGAGTGGCAGATGTAAAAGCTGAGGTCGAGTCTATCGGGGATGCTATCGAGATATGAATAGTGTGAGGATTATATTCATGTCATGAGAATCGCCACAGCTTATTACTGCAAGGGAGTTTTTATACTTAAAAAGTATTTTAAGGTAAAAGAGAGACTCTTCTGTTAATACGAGTTTTGTAACTGTAAAGTGGTACATGGCTTTAATTTGTGTCAAAAACTTAAAACGGGTAATTTGTGTAAAGCATCCCTTACATGTCATGGCAAGTCTAGCGCCAGTTCGGGGGTCACACTGGCCTGGCACGGTGGCCGGATCCATACAGCTCGTGCCCTGGGCGTCGTAAAGGTATCCCTCCGCACAATCACTGATTATTGGCGCCATTTGTGCACCGACTTGATCCTGCACGCAGATGTAATATTGTTTACAGGTGTCTGGGTGGGGGGCAAACAATTGTCCGGGCTGGCATATTGGAGCGGACGGTGCCACGGTAGTGGTGGTGGTGGTTGTCGTAGTATCTTCCCGTATCAATCGGACACCTTCAAATGAGCAATAGCTGGTCATGAAATTATACGACAGGCAGTTCTGGTTGGGTTGACTGAAATAGCGACCCCCTGGGCAGTTCAGCGTGTTTCTCAGGACGCCATTGAGGCATTGGTAATACACGAAGCAGGAGTTCGGATCCTCGTAGAGTCTGGTGCCTCGGCCTGTGCAGTCAAAACGCGGAGTGGTAGGAGCAGCGCGTTTGGTGGTTACCCTCTGTGTAGTGGGAGGACGGGTTGTCGTAGTTGTAGTAGGTGTTGTGGTTGTGGTGGGAGTTGTAGTAGTTGTCGTCGTTGTTGTGGTTGTGGTAGTTGGGCGAGGGGTTGTAGTTGTGGTAGTGGTCGTAGTTGTGGAGGTTGAAGTTGTTACGGAAAGTCTAGTACCGCCAGGGGCACATTGTCCACTGGCCAAAACGTCTCCCTCGCTCGCGCAACGTCCTGCAACCGCGTCGAACATCGTTCCTGCGGCGCAAACCGTCTCTCTTACAGTGCCGTCTGTCCAGCAGAAGTAGACTCTTTTGCAGTCTGGATGAGGATAGAATTGACGTACCACGCACGTCGCTGGCGTCGTGAAAGCTTCACTCACCACCGGAGCAACGTTCACTCGAGGGGTTGTTGGTCGTCGGGTCGTGGTCGTCGGAATGGTGGTCGCTACGACCCTAGGACATTGCTGTCCTTGTTGAATACGCGTGCCATCGGCGCAGCAGTCGGCCACGTTCCGTGGGAAATCACAGGCTATGGTGCGGCTGTTGAAAAAAAGAGTACCAGGGCAACGCTGTTCTACCGCACGGTCTCCGATACATCTGTAATAGCCGTTACACATGTCTGGATGGGCCACTGATGTTAGACCTGGAATGGTTGAGTCGGTATGAGTTACACGTTTATATTTAAATATTTATTTTTGTGCATTTTAGTGCTAATATATGCTTATGCTAGTGCAGTGGTGGTGAGAGGGTTTTTTAACAAACCGTGCACTGTAAAACATAAACCCATAGTCCCGTTAATGGCTGTTAATCTTTTACACCCCTATGGGAAATTTCAGACCATTTTATGACAAAATGACTGATAATAAAATAATAATTAAGGGCTACTGAGTAAAACAAACATTTTCTCGCTCTCATACCATACCTCTGAAGCACCTGACCTCACGGCTTGGCACCGGCAGAGGCGCTACTGTCGTGGTGGTCCGCCGAGTGGTGGTCGGGACAGTGGTGGGCTGCGTGGAGGGTCCGGCGTACGGCGTGGTCTGGATGCACGTTCTTCTAGTATTCGACTGATCACACTGATTCCTCATATTATACGGCCAGTCGCAAGCCTTTTGTCTGGCATTGAAGAGGAGGCCGCCGGGGCAGGGAATTTCCCTTGGTTCAGAGTTTTCGTTGCACTTATAAAATTTGGTGCAGTCACAGTGCTCGACTATCTCGTTTGGCACGCAGTCAATGGGCGTGGTGGTTGGCGGTGGGATGGTGGTGGGGCCGGGAGTAGTGGCTAAAATGAACAATGAGAGCTTTGTAAATGTGATATCATATTTACGGCGAAGTAATAAAGGGGCACACAAAATGTTTTTGCATCAAGTGTTTTTAGAATGAAGGTGCTCACTACGAGATAGTTGTGTCCAATTTTTTTTTCTTTAAGTAATGCGGTTCTAATTGTAACTTTATGAAATATTACTTAGAAGCCACCCCTGAGTTTTGATAAATACAGTGCATTGCAGTGCTGTCCTTATAGCTTGCATAATTGACATTAGCCGCTTGACAATACTTCCTACGATCTGCTCAACAACCAAACATTTGGGACATAACAAACAGCCTGGTTAGGATTTTTGTATACTAATTACTGTTCCAAATATAAAATACTTCAGAAAATTCACAATAAAAAAGCCAAGTCATCATACACAATCTTGATCCGTCACTGGCACAGTCGTAGACCAGGGCCGGCCACGTGCACTGGAAGGTCTGGGCAGCGTCGTAGAATAACGGTGAGGTACACTGGCGCAGCTGGAGCTGTTGCTGGGAGCACACGTAATACTGGGTACAGTCGGTCTCGTGAGGCGTGACGATGCCCTCTGTTGTGCATCTTGTTCCAGTGTTTCTAACAATTGTGGATGTTTTTGACATATCTAGTATAAGATGATGAAAAAAATGATTTCTATTTTCATTTAATAAATATTCAAGATAGCAATGAACAGGTCATGTCTCAACGCCAATAAAAGGAATGTGGCTTTTCAAAAGTTCACAGTGTGGAACAAACAGAAAAGATTATGAAATGTATACCATTGCTTTGTTTGTTAAATACTACCCCTATGCCTACTGTGTTCCTATCTGCATTTTTTTTCTAAATAATGAAACATATGGTTAGATATGAGTTTTAAATGTAATCGTTTAAACTGAAGATGGGCTGGACCGTAGTTGTATTATATTGTATTGTATTGTATTGTATCACATTAAATAGCATTGCATTGCATTATATTATATTAATGGCACAAATCATGTCGATCGAGAGTTTACCCAACTCACCCGTGCGCCTCTTTCCATTGGTGCAGTCCCTGACGTTGGATTCCAACAGACACCTGTTGCTCCTGGTGTCAAAGGCCCATCCCTCCAAACATGTCACTTGCTGAGGCACGAACTCTATGCACTGGTAAAATACCTGGCACTCCGTCACGTGGGGGAAAAAGCCCATTCTCTCCGGACAAATGAAGCCGTTGGAAGATACCGGCTGTTCCGTGCTTCCAGACCCTGTGGATATACGCGCAATTGTGATAACATGTGAAACAGTCGTTGCTTTCGTTATGGGAAATGCAATGGTAATGAATCATTGCTTTTGCTTCTTTTTATGGCGTATCGTATTCGTGTAAGTAGGTAATATATCCAAGCTTTTCATATCTAAAATGGTCTTGAAAATATATAATGGACCTGTTAATGTCTCTTTCACAATCCTTTCTAACTTTTCTTTACATAATGCGAAGATTTTATATAATATAAAGATATGTCAGGACTTGAAAATGCCATGGAGTCAGCAACCATGCTGTCTTACATGAGTTCTGGTTTTGCCCATTTCGCTTTCTGTAAATGATCCCCCCGCCCCCACTCTCCACAGCCGGTGGTTTATCTGAAACTTACCTGAGCTGAACCTGTCACCATTGGCTCTGCACTGGTCCGTGAGGTCCTCTGGAAACTTGCACTGCTTGGAGTCGGCATCAAAAAGCTGTCCACCTATAGGACAGGTTCTTTCCGAAGGTAACCCCAGGGAGTCGCAGGCATAAAAGTATATACAAGAGTTGGGGTCTGGGTACATGCCTTCCCCGGGGCAGGCAAAACCTTGTTGTACTGTGAGCTTGAAGCCAGCTGAAGAAAGGAAAGAGTGTGTTTTGTATTTTCATTCTGCAATTATCTAAGAATAAATTTAGATTTAAATGGTATCTGGAGAGCCTGGGTAAAAGATATGTTCTATTCTTTCAAAAATGGAGATACAAAATGAAAATAGCATGGTTTTAATTTTATGAATTAGTGATCTTACTTCACGCTAAGAAGGATTTTTACTAAAGATTTTTATGGTAACAGTTATAACGTGGATTTTCACTTCTGTTTTAATTTATTATTTTTCTCACTCCGCTATTTAACTTTTTGAAAATGCAGGAACGTGATGGTGAGTGACTCAGCAGATAAAAAAATCTTGCATCATAACTACCAACTGTATCAGACCTTGAAGAATTTTGTTCAAATAAATTCAACAACTGTAAGTGCAGAATATGACACAAGTAAATGTACGTTAAACGGTTAGACCTCTGTCTTCTATGTGGCAATCTATTAAAAAACAAAGGGACATACATTTACCGAGATAATGTCATTAGTCAGCACACTCGCTCTCTCCTTATCTAAACGAAATTGAATTGAGATGAATATGCACATCTCTTATCACCACAAATCAAAGGAATACAAAACCCAAATTGTTTCCCCTATCTTTATTGCAACACTCAGAAGTTACTAAGAAGAGAGGGAGGGGGCACGGGTACGAGGCCCGTTTATTTAAGGCTTCAGAATGGGTTTAGGGCCAGCTTATTTAAATGCCCAAAATATGGTCTACTTCAGGTCAAGATAAATCACAGAGGTCCACTTTAATCCAATATGTATTGGACTCAAACATTATCCACTTGCCTCTTGTCATAAAACAGGGGACATATTCGATTCAGTGGAACTACTGTGTCCAAATGGACATAAAAAGCCGTCCAAAATTTGAGCTCAAACAAACAAAGCCCTGGGGTCAGTGTCACGCCTGGATGTTGTTCCAGCACCTAGTTTCCGGCCTTAAAGAAGCCGTGCACAGGTGCATTGTGACACCTAACCCCATGTTGAACTCTGTGGGGAGATACACAGCAGTTAATTGGAATAGTGTTGATTATTTCTCTGGATAAGAACCACGATTTCCATCCGATAAAACCAACGGTCCCGCCTCCAATATGAACGGCAGGTCAACACTGATAATATAAAAGTCATTTCCATGTTCAACATGACAACTATGTCTTTGACCAGTGATTTTCAGTGTGAATAGATAGCCTAGCCTTTTTTTGTATAAAAACCATATTTGTAATCCTTTCAATCCCGATATGTCGTCTTACCGCGGTCATTATCGGACAAGATATTTTTTTTTAATATCAAACACTCGCCAAATGACATATAATAGTGTCTTCAGCAGGAGATATATAAATATGTTTCTTCACTTATTTCACCGTATAATTAAGCCGTATAAAACATGGGAGGTTGAATACAAGATGGACTTAGACTGAATGCAGTTTCCCATGGAAATCTTTTCTTACCTGTGAATATAAGCAAGGCTAACAGTAGAGTTCCATTTCCTTTACAAATGTTTGGCACCATTTTTATTTTTTTGGTTCTTTATGCAGTAGATATGGCTGGAATCTGAAAAAAAGACAACATTCATTGGTCTTATGCTGGAGAAAAATAAACTGATTTTCACGCAACATTCATTGTGCTCTGTGGGTAAAAACAGGTTACGAAAACATATCTAACATGCCTTTGAAACAATTGACAAAGAACGCCTGTTACAATGCACGAAGATGGTGTGACTTTGTACATTATGAGTTCAAAGTAGGAACTTTCCAATCCTTCAAATGAAAAGAAATGGAGTCCAGAAACCTTTCACTCAATCAACTGCGTAGCAGTTATGAAAATTCCAAAGTTTGCTATTTATGAAAATCGGATATAAATATGTCATATTATGATATTTCAAATAAGGTAATAGTATCACGTCAAGAACAAACCTTGTACCCCCTTTCCGGCAGTTATGTAAATAACCCCCAGACAATATAAATGGACATTATTTTACTTATATATCAACATGATGTGTGTGTGTCCAAATACAGTGGCTATTCTTCTATGTCAATTTATACATACTTTTAAACAAAACGTGCTTATCGCATACTATGGCCCTCTGTTGTACTCACCACAAACTAAACTGTTCCAATATTGATATGGCACAGTGAAATATATCGGTTCAAAATCGAAGATCGCTGGTGACAAAAGTCACTGCGCCATCGGAGACACTCGTTTGACCGCCCAGTGGTTCGAGTGCACTTTTGACACTTTTGTCCCTATTCCAGACTATGAATTGCCGCAGTTTATCCACGTCTGTTGACAAACTGGTAGCGGGCACTGGTTTTCACGCTGGAATGAAAAAGATGGCGAGATTAAAGCTAAGAGTGTGTGAGTCAATATATGACTATGAAGATTATGAATAAGACTTCCATGGTCAATTAACTTTTGTTTCCTTGTGCATGTAAACTACCGTAGCTCCTGTTGTCTCCTGATAATCTCAAGAAAAAGAATTTTACCAAAACGTGAACTTGCCAGCCGTAACTTGTTCAATGGTATCCAACATTTTCTTTCTGAATTTATTCATTTATTTATTTATTTTATTTATTTATTTATTTATTTATTCTGAAGTGCCCATTCCTAATCTACAGATCAAAACCCTTAGTGATACTACTAGTGAGCAACAAATAATACCAGTATATTCCACGTGGCTGTATCTCCTGACGCAATATTTAGATAGGGCATGCGTAATGAATGCAAATTAAACAAAATAAAAGTAATTGATTGGAGTTTAAAAAGATTTTGTGTTCATGAATCCTGAATTCAACGTTTTCAGCATGATGTTAGGAATTTTCACTGTGGCATTGTACATGCATGGATCCAAATTGATTCTGATGAGTAAATAATGACCTTTATTTATCCAACTGTGTAAACATGACGGTCGTCTTCAACATACACCCTCACCTCCCCTAACAGTGAGGAATGGCTTTAAGTTTGGTCTTAGTATAGTGTTATCGTACATACATTGTATTGTCATTTTCTAAGTTTCTAAGTAAGAGTTTACAGATCTCTTTCAGTTTCATTTCATTTATGAATTTATGAATATGTTTCATGCATAGAGAAAAACAACAACTAAATCACATACTGAAAAAAAAAATGATAAAGATACGTAAGACACATTTCAGATGATGATGATCTGACAGTGTCAGTGTATGACCTTGTGTACCCATAAAAGCAAACTGTTTGACCATCATGTACTTTTATCACATCAGACTTTTGCCGACCAAAGAGAGGTTCCTTAGAACCCCCTCCCTTGATTTTCACGTTCAATAAAAAAAATACTACCCTTCAAATCAGCAATAGATCATCATACACCCTAGCTTGTGTCTTCATACATAAATCAACGAACCAAACTGTTTCTGTTAAACGGTAACCGCATTGAATATCTGTGTGTCACAGAGAACATAAGAGCAGGTATAAAAAGACCATTAAAGATCATTTGTTTAATTTCTTGGGGTAATTTGTGATTTTATGTATCCCACTGACGGTTGCTGTGGTGGGCCCACACTACTGGATGTAGGACACCAAGAAACGGGGGTTGGGGGTATTTTAGTCCTCTTTCTCCACCCCCGTTGCTATGAGAATACTGTTTTTTTTTTGGGGGGGGGGGTGCACATGTTATTTATAGAGAGATCTGGCGTCATTTTTTCACCTGTGGAGATGCATGTACTTAGCAAAGGGCCTCTACTGTAGTTTTGTCCACAAGATCTCCGTTGCAAATTATTTATACGTAATTTTTTACACCCACCCCTTATTGACAAAAATGTACTCTATACACTAACATCAGCGTTGACTTTGTCAAATATTCAAAGACCCAGGTTAAAGTCAGCCCTTGTCGTCTGCTGCAATGTCATTGTCGGGTAGATAGTACCGGATTATCACATCTAGACACATCTAGAGTGCTATCCCGACTGCAGACGATATTTGTCACGTCTCGACAAATGTGTCCTGTGTCTCTTCCCATTAAAAACAGAGTCTTACATAAGAAATGGTCGCCAAAAGGTTTGCATCTTTTCACCCTTTCGATCTGGAAATATGTCTTTGGGTATAAAGTATTGTAAAATTATCTTCGTCTACATACATTTCAGACACCACGTGCTGGATTAGTTGCAAGCAACTAGGATATACTGATAATAACCGTGCTACTACCAACCCATAACCCATGGCTGTGTTCATTATTTTTAAATCCTAACACGATGAGATTCACTTAAGATGAATTATAACATGATTGTGTCAAACATTGCTTATTTTGTTCAAACTATTGTTTTCAAGAATTCCGCTCTGTTCGTTTACAGTACTATGTATTGGTCCATGTGTTCTGTTGTATATATCTCAAGCTTGGATCGACGTTTTGAAAGATTTTTTTAAAATCCTGGTTACAATGGTCATGCCTATCGAACAGTACTGTAAGGATATGCACTGGTATAGTAGTCAAACTTGAGCTAGCAAACCGTTAATTGTGCCATTAACTCACCAATATGTGGAAAACGGCTCCCCAGTGTCTACATAGTTAGCGTAGATTCCCCTTGACATAACCTGAGCCCTTAACTGAGACGCAGTTACTCACTGATTATAAAAACACAGGCGCTGTAATTTCCGACGTTGCAATTTTACGTCACGGGTGCATGTGTGCGTTTTGTAACTCTAACACGATCGCCTGTACCGAAACTACACCGAGATGAAGACGCGCAGACGATGGCCTCTTAACTTTTTCATGGTGTCAGAAGTTACTAGCGTGACCAACGACACATTTTAGGGCCATCTGAATGGTAAAGAGGAGCACAGGGTATTCTGTTTGATAAGGAAAAGCGACAGTGACAGAAAGGTAGCATTAACGTAATCTACGGTTTATACAACGAGGGTTTAAACACAGTAAACTCACTCATGAACCTTCGCGCTCGTGTGACTTACCATATTATTAAAGCATCTCACTTAAATTATATAAGGTAAATTTGTTATTCATTGAGATGAATGTACAGCGTATAACAATGGCCAGGTCAGTTCGAGGGTTACAATAAAGAATAGATGCAAGTCCCTTATTAATGAAGTGGCTCGAAAAGACTGTGCCTGTATTTCCCCCTACCTTATCACAAGTCCATGCCAAGTCTAGATAATTAATATGAATATCAAAAACACGGCATTGTAATGCTAAAATTTCCACTGTAAAGGACAGCTTTTATATAAAGCAAAGTGTGTTACGTTAAAGGTATACTGTGATGAAAAAACGGGTTAAAACTATCCGTTAGGTGCCCAAAAGTCATTTTTGAGTAATGAAAAAAAAGTTCTTACGTTTATTTAGTTTTTAAAGCCGATTTTATGCAGGTGTGAATGTAGTTTATGATACTCCCGCGTGGTGGCGCTTTAAGGCGAGTGACGTCACTAGCGTCAAGGCTCAGAAAGCCATATTCGATTCAGCTATCCGCTTGCTAGCAGTGCAAACTAAAAGCGATACACGCAATTGATCACTACATGATCATTTATAAATTCAAACTTTTGAAGATAGATACACAAAAGAAGATGAATTCCCCACGTGGTTATCATTTATTAACCAACAAAATACACCAAAACTATGTTAACAGTAAAGGTTTGGAAGCAGGGCAGCGAACACAGTTTTTCACACATTGCCCATCTGTCGCGTCGGCTGAACGTTCTTATCCCGACTGATAAGAGAAAGTTACCTAATACATGCAGGTGTGACAGCTAACATTATTTTTCACACCCGTGCAGTTTACCAGTGTCATTCCGGGAGAGCCAGGTCAGTGGACAAAAGGCCAAAGATATCGGACTGATAGCATCGGACACTACATTTCACACCTCTGCAACTTACCTCGCTACTTCTGCCTTACACGTGATCAGTGCAGCAGTATGTCGAGTAAAAATTTGATTCCACTATCATGTTAATATTAACGTTTTCACTAACATAACCAAAAAATTCGACAACGTAATTCTGCTACGAACTATTTTTTGGGCTCTAGAAGCTGCTCTCTTCTTCCTTTCGACGGCCGCATCATGTACACATCCTACAGGTAAGACTCTCGTCGGCAGCGTTCTGGCATTTACTGTCGCATTTTGGTACTCCGAAAAATCGAATATACTGGGTACAGCATCATCTTTTAGTTTTCTCCGTGCTTTTCCACCGCACAATTCAGCTCGCAGGTCACGTACGAAGCATTCCGGCTCGAAGTGGTCGCTACAGATCCTCGCGTGGACACTGTGCTGGGATTTTTTAACTTCAGAGAATTGAGCCAAATTTTACGTTTAGCGGCATCCGCAGGCAGGATATAATAGCAGATGTCTTTCTTATTGTAACCTACATTACGGCACCCGGGAGCAACACAACTTTGCGGCATTTGTTTTTCTGACACCTGGATGATTAGTCGCCTACTGCATAGTATATACTATTACTACATGTAGTACAGCTGTGGGAAGCTACTCCACGGGTTACGTCACTAGAAACTGACCAATCAGAATTTTCTCATCTAAATCTCATCTTTTCTCTCTAAAACTTAAAAAGAACAATTTTTTGACGTGGATTTATAGTTTTTATACTGTAAAAAAAGCAGTGAACGCTATGTGTTCCTAGAGCGCAGTAGGCCTTTAATGGACAGTACTTTATATTTATTCATTTTATTTATTTATTTTGTTTTATTCCCCCAACGAGTGTGACACAATTGATACGGAAGGCAACCTCCTAATGTATAACATTTCATCAAAATATAAAAAAGTTACGGAGTAACAAAAACACTAAACGTCACTTGTGTCTGCGACACTTCAACTCATTTGAACTGCAGCACTCATTTAACGCCATCACCTTCATGTGTTATCTTGCAAACAAAGCCGGACAAGAAAATGCCTGGTACAATGAAACTGCACTTTCATCCATTTGACACATTAAACACAATGTGTACGAAAGATTCAGAGCAAGGACAGCATGCCCTTACTTGTCTTCTCACAACACGGATTTCAGTCCATTCTCTCTCTGAAATCATAAATCTATTCAGTTTTACTTTGATGGTATATGTATGATCAACCTTGGGCTACCCGCGTGCATGAGAAAATGCAGGGTTCAAAAGATGCATTGTTTCCCTATCGTATGAACAGATATGAATAAAAGGAGAGTGAGCTTATTAAAATACGTCAGCGAATACATGTACATATAAAGGTTAATACTTCTAAAAAAACATGCACATTGCGTGCTCAATATATTCCTCATTTGGTGCAAAACATTTGGCAAATTCTGTGCTCATCTATGTCAAATTCATGTCACTTATCATCGCAATCACAGTTTAACATCTGTTTAATATGAAGCTGCATGCCGCGAAATGGTACAGTGTACAATGGTTTACTGTATACATTTAACACGCCCCACCCCTCGTCTCTGAGATGACTTAACAAGGAAGTCATGCGTGTCACTGTTTCCACTTAGTTTTCTGTATTGTTTTATATTTTTAGCGTCACCGTGCATAGCACCTTACAAAACAACACATTTTAACGGGTCTACTTCTGTTTTCTATATTTGTCATTATCATTCACTTTCATATTTTCTTTATGTGCATTGTTTTAATTGTTTGTTGAGACAGACTGATAAATATAGATTCCTATGACATAATCTTTTCAAAGTAAAAATTATGTCGATTGTGCCACCCTACACAAAATCATTCAAGGCCATATCAGGTATTGTCCTTGTGAGTTATAAGTACAATAATTCAAGGCCATATCAGGTATTGTCCTTGTGAGTTATATGTACAATAATTCAAGGCCATATCAGGTATTGTCCTAGTGAGTTATATGTACAATAATTAAACAGTATCCATTATATTAATTTAATGTAACATTTACTACTTTTCTAACGATGTCAAGATTTGCCAATAAATTTTTGAAATACTACACAACAGTGTTTGCGTGCCTGCAAACAAAAGAACACCTTAATATGTAGCCGTATTTAATTTATCATTTAGTGACCGCTAAATAAACGTTGTCACTGTTTCAAATTGCTTTATCAAATTATAGACCGGTCCACTGAAGCAGTCGTTTTGGTGCACAAATTACAGATAACGGTAATGAATACTATCTGTATTTCTTTAATGAATGCATATTTGTGGAAATGGTGTCAAATTATTGGTTAACTGTCACACACCTAGGGTATTTAACTGGACAACATTAAAGAAAAGGGCCGATATTTCCAAAGAAGCTAGATCTAGTAGATATTTCCAAAGAATTTCAAAACAGATTTTCAATTTCTCACAATATACACCACTAGTTGGAAGGCCAACTTGCTTCTTAACCGATACGTGTATACAAGACGGGCAAAACCTCAACTATTTTCCTCCGTCATTAGCTTAAGAATTACACCAAAAACATTTTGCGATGTCACAAACATAATGGATACAGTGTGACTACGTTACCAAAACCTGGCAACGAGCTGTTGACTTTTGATTCTTAGACCTTGACCCCATGTTCAATTAACCAAATGCTGGCCACAATCGGTCAAAACCTTTCTTCATAAACTACATTATTGATAACAATATTCTTTACATATACACATATTAAAAAAAGGACAGCAAAAGACAATACCGGAAGAGCTGTGGGTTAACGGATTGCCGGGAGGAAATATCAGTTATCTTAAACGTGTTGGACATCATGTTCCAACCACACCCTAACACGACTGTGGTTACATAAATTACAAAAATTATGAGATATAATTTCTCGAAGTGACCACAGTTTGGTGTAGAACCTCAGATATGAATTTCTGACGACAAAAGCGCTGAGAATAATATCGTAATCTTATCTGATAAGAACCATAATCAAATGAATATGTTTTTTATCCTGGCCTAGCCACATGCAATATATAAAAATATGTTGCGGAGAGGAGAATTTTTTTGTTTACCCTTGCTTTCCACTTTTTTAATGAAATTTTTGTAACCACCGCAATGCACTGTCCTCCCTACTAAAATATTAAGGACTGTTACATTTAAAGGTTACCAATAACCTTACCTTGTACAGGTTAGAGATTATTTGCTAGGGCAGGAAGGAGAACTCATTTAATGTACTTATCACAGTTCTAAGACAACAAATCGGCATAGCAAGATTTTTCAAAATCGGTTTCAGTGTAGATTTAGTTTAAAGGAACAGGTTTAACGTTTAATACCGAACATCTGGGACCGAGTCCCGCACGACTTGGTTATATATCTGATAAACCATGCAATTTATAGATGGAGGAGAGTATGACCAGTCGTCTGAGGTGGCTTTTGAAATTATTTCCCGATTCGTAGACTGTTTGACAAAAATATCGACATACCTTGCACCATAAAGTCTCCCTTTACTCCTTAATGCTTCCTTGCCCAGCTTGGAGTCGACAAACAGGTTGTCGGGGACTTGGTCTCTTGCACACACTACGGAAAAGAAACGAAATAACATCGGCCTTTATTTGACAATGACTAACTCCATTGTCTTAGCATGAATAAGTCATTTTGGAAAGGGGGGCACAACGTACATCTTAAAGCTGAACGGTCTGGCTGTGAGGGAATTAATGGTGTTTCTCACGTAAGGGGTCCGCTCTCGCGCAAACCAGGGCGATTGTCATCAAGACAGTGAAATACAGTGTTGTGCGTGAGGGGAGTATTTACGAAGACTTAACTTCTTTTTTTTTTGCTGTTACTCATGACATTTGTTAGTGGCTCGGTGTAGATATAGGAGTGAATCAGGGTTAAGGCGTATACCATCTTGTGGGAAACACCCGTCTCAGGGAGTCCAGTAAAACGGGGAGTCAGCCCTCAACTTTATGTTCTTACTCATAGCTTAATTAAGTGTTAAAACATAGATACGGTTTTTGGCATTTCTTTTTAGGGGCATTCGGTGTCTGGCGCTAAGCGCCAGGTTAGCAGAAAATCAAGAACTAAAGATAGGTTATATTCTCATATTTTGCAGTTATTTATATTCACACGTAATATATAGATAGGGGTGTGAATTCTAAGAGGGAGGCGTGAACTTTGCGAAGAGGGTCATCTGGTTTTTTTTGTTAAAAAAGCATTTGAGGGTTTTATTACTGATTGTGCTGTCACGCTATTTCCCAGTGGCACCATACATGTACGTAGGATCATGCGTGATTAAAAGTGCGCAGTTTATTAAATGGATATCTGTGTATCATGCTATCTGTGTAAACGAACAGGAGTTTTGATACAACTGCAGATGGCTCGAAAATGATTTCATTTATATTACCTCAAGTTAGTTGTGCTTATCCTACACATGAACAGTTTAACAGGTGTCAATTTCGGTGATCGCAATAGTGATCAATTTAAATCAAAATTGACAAACACGTCTGTGGGTTTGGTATCGGCTTTTCCGTAGGTAAAATTTAATTTATGTATTCAGTTCACTACTGGAACATTTGCCTTTTAACACCAATAAAATATCTTACGATTTCAGTATTTTTACTGTTGAAAAACCTTGTTGTTGAACCTTTCATAAAAAGACAGGCCCCATCAAGAGTGAAGTGGATGTCATATTTACTGTGAATAGTTCATGTGAAAAACATAAAATTATTTCTAACTGATTTTTTGAACGGAAAACAAACCCTTACAACAGTATATACCTCATATTTCCCTTGCTTTCAAGCCTCCCTTCCTTTCTCCCTCCCTCCATCTCGATGCATTACAATATGTTCCGTTATTGGTACTAGTACGTGCATCAAGCAAAATTGTGTACTGTATCGCCGACTCACATATTCTACACAGCACATATTCAATCAATTGTGACAACCTGGTGCACGTGGAAATGTGGGTAAAGACAATTCACACGGAGTTGAAGATATCTTCGAACTACCTTTGCACTACATGTAATACATGTAAATGCATTAACCTTCGTTGTCTTAATAATTTCAATTAAACTTCGTTACACAAAATCATCACATCCTGTTTATTACTTTGAAGAAGAATGAGTAAGTCACAGAAAATCTTAATTCCGGTCATCATGCAATATATAACAATTTGGTCCAGTACATAAGTCACCATAACTTTATGGTTGAATTGCGTATCATATATAGACACATTATGGGGTCAACACTTGACCTTCAACTGACCTTTATGCTATCTATGGGACTAAACCATAAATACTTGTAAATCTAACCGCATTTAATGTTCAAGAATTTTTCATTTTATAGTGAATAATGCAGTTTGGTAATTAAAGCATTCAGTTTTTGGGTGATTAAATACAGTTAGACTAGTTGCGTTTACACAATGTGAAAACTTTAAGATAAGAATTACAGCAAAAAATCGAGTTTTTGCAGATATTCTACAAATACTAATTAATTCATACATTACAGTACGATATACCTGGAAAAGAGGGCAAATATTAATGCGCACTGTATTGTAAATTAAAGGACGCGGTTCATGAAAACCTGCACAATTAGACTAAAGAATATTTAAGTCAGATGGTTATGGGTTTTTAATCCGTCTCACACCTTCATGTTTTATAACTCATGTTCCATAACTTTTTTAAGCACATGCGCACATTCAAAATGGACCGGGGGAGGGGACTAGGCTAAGAAAGAATCACCCTTTTGGCCAGTTAAAGTCCATTCTGGATCAAATATCTTCTCGGTTCTGTCATTTTTTAACATGAGGGAATGAGATATCCACTTTTTTCTTCTCGCTGATTTTGACTAATGAATACCATAAAAATGACAAAGAAATAATTTTTTTCCATAACCACAACCTTTTATTGCCTGTGATTACCATGCTTTCTCAACATCTGTTACCTCAAAATCGGACAAGGTGTCTGGGGTCACGTGACTTAGAAGGAAACACAGTTGTGGTGAAAGTTATTTTTTGAACGTCACTAAAAAACATTTTCATTAATTTATCGCATATTTTGTGGTAGTGTTGTTTTGTGTCCCGTTAAGGATGCCTTTAATCTTACCTAGACGGGGGCACACATAAAATAATTAACAGGATATAGGCCATTTAAGGACTTTTAACAGTATAAACGCGATATTCCGACTCGATCTTTATATATATATATATATATATATATATATATATATATATATATAGAGAGAGAGAGAGAGAGAGAGAGAGAGAGAGAGAGAATTATATATTATAAAAGAACCACACAGTTTATATTTAGCCCTCGTGTTTGTCCAACAGGAATATATAAAATACTAGTATATCCAACAATCAAACACTCTTTCCAAACTCGAAACACAAGTCTGCATACTAAATACACGTTTTTGATATTCCAAATTCTGACCATTAAACCAGATAAGTGAATGCATATATTTTCTATTACACTGTAGCACACCTGTATTTCTTTTTAATGATAATAATTTTGTTAGTTTCTCTCTATCATGGTAGTCTACATTTCTTTATCTGTTGCTTGATCAATTCATTAGAATCTTCTTTAAAAAGGGGGAGTTTATGTGTAGCAAAACACCCGTGCGTGGGTCGTAAATGATAAGAGCAAACACTACCAATTACATTGTAATTTAGTGAACAGTTTCATTCAAATGTTAATTCTTAATTTTGAAGAACTTGACTATTTTAAAAGCACCAATATATCTTATACTTTTTTATGTCCAGCATTATCTTTTTTTTTTCATTTCAAATTACTGTTTTTCTCCGCTTTTCCACATAATTATATATACATATATTCATAATTTCAACTGGACACAAGAAGTCATCGGTTCCTTATTTTCCAAATCGTGGGTTTTCCCACCTTTTGTCTATCTATCTATGTTCATGCACACACCACATAACTGAGACGAAATACGTGGTACTTAGCAACTATTTCTATAGAACCATATTTCCCAACTGGGTGGATAGCTGAAACGTGGTTAAGATTAATAACGACATACATGTGAACTGAGATTACACAAAGAGTTTTTGGGTTATATAAATAATATTCCCATTATTACTACATTAATCATTGCCAGGTGCCATGTTGTTCATCTACTGTAACGGTATGTCTCACAGAAATAACTTCTCTACGCCCAAAGATGGCTGAGCTATGCTGCATGTCAAGCAAACATTAAAGGTGTGTTGCGTAAAAGAGTTACTAAACTTCTTTCAAGACTTTCAATTTTAAATTCAGTCCGAGTCAACCCACCGCTACCAAAATGAACTTTTTTTATGGAAAAGTTACTTCTTCCTACTTTGATCCGAACTAAAAGCTCCGCGACTGAACACTAACTAATTATGATACAACAGAGTTATTTAGAATAATGTAATATATTCAAACTGAATTAATACATGTTACGCCTTTGAAGTGCATGTAACGAGGTCTTCGTCTCTTCACTTATTTCACGTGGGTTTAAAAATCCATGTCCATTAAACACGTTTTCTATTTGTAAAAGTCTAATATTCATTCTTACGAAACTGTGTAAAGTACGCGGTGTATATAAATAAATAAACAGAGAGCGCGTATTAACCAGACCATCGTGCCTTTCTAATAATTCATACAAACTTTATGATGAAAAATGTGCATGATTTTTTTCATCGTTTCGCGTTAAAACGCAACAGGTTACATAACATTAAAACTTTTTCACCAATCTCACGTTCAGGGTCTTTTTCTCATGCCAATGACATTTCTTGGAGAATCAAATAAAATCTCAGTAATACCAAAACGAAAATATAGCATTTTGAAACACAACAAAATAATTTAATAACTTACCTTTAGATACAGTGCAGAATTATATAATCCCAGTAAGGCAAACGGGTAAGTAAAACCCAAGAAAGTGCCTCTCTCTCTCTCTCTCTCTCTCTTTTTGGGAGATGCTACTGCTCTGTAGTTCGGTTAAGTCACTAAAGAGGTTTCATCAACACACTATGACAGTCTTCCCCCGTAATCTACGTATGCATCTTTTCTTAACACTGGTACAACACCACAGCTGATCATGAAGTCTCAGTAACTGCATCCAAGATCCATACAAATGCTTTCATTATTATCTATTATTTTATTCAGTTTTGCACGCCAAGTACAAAGCGTAATGTATGCAGTGGTTTCCTAATCGAGGTAGCCATCAATCAGATTTAGGATCCTTATTGTGCTCCTTCAGGTCTAGGGGAGAAACAGACGGAAATATTTCTAGTCAATTGTTTTAGATATACAGTATAGCAGGGAATATTGTGAAATAAACAGCATTGCTAATACAAAAAGATAAATCAAGGTTTCGTCAAGGATGTTATGCGATTTCGCTTTGAATGTTAATATCCATTTAGAGCAACAATGACAGTTAATGTATGTTTAATCAATTGTCGTCTCACCAAGCGCAATTATACTGATAAGATGCAAATAGCCAAGTTACAACTGTGACGTGTACTCCTTATAGCAATAGAGGCTAGTCTTATTGTTCTATTTTATATGGAAGTCATTGTTTGTTCCCTTTATGATTTTTGCTATTTGTCATTGCTCCGAGAAGTTTATTTCGCACAGAAATGTCCCCACAGTTCTCCTCAATTCTATTGGGAGTTTACACATGATACCAGGCAAAGTTCAGACGGAAATCGCATTTTTGAATATTTTAGCTAATAAAATAAAATAAATGTATAAATAAATCCTTCATCTGTAATTAAGAAAAAACACAGTACGGAAACGTACGGTATATACAGGGTAGAATTTTTAAATTAGCAAAACTTCCAACTTCCAACTTCCACCTCTCTCTCTCTCTCTCTCTCTCTCTCTCTCTCTCTCAGGCAACAATTATACTAATTTCTAAAACAGTAGTTAGAAACAGTGGAGCCTAGTATAGCATAGCGTACTATCAGCGGATGGTGAGACGTTAAGAAGTATTTTGTAAGGGGGATTCTTCGGTCAAGTTTCCAGTCCACGTTATGGAATGTAATTTTTTATGTCGGGGACGGTCAAAATGAATGATGGATCAACGAAGATGATTTGGAAGACTGTCAGAAAATATCTCTGGATCCTCCCCCTGAATTACTTGTGGCTAGCTTGAAGGTTCGAAATAAAAGAGCCCTAATCAATACACTGCAGTTTATTTTGCTGTAGGAGAGGGTGATTATAACATATAACCAAGCCACCAGTGTGAAACTGTGAATAATATAACCTCGTCATCTGAAGTGGAAAGCAATCGGTTCTTCACCCCGCAGTGTAAACGTAGGTCAGCCGGAGAGATGCATCTTGATTGCTGTACTTCCCTGATCTTAGTCAGCATTGTCTAGACATACTACAACGTACCCCTGTACTTTATACGTCTGTGACTTTAATGTCTGTACATAGTATTACTACAGTATGTCTTTATGTAATCTAATGCCAGTTAAGCCTTCCCGTATTTTACTATTTGTGCCTTTCCCCTTTACGCTGTCTACCCGGTATATGCCGTAACACTTTGTGACGTCCCTCCCTCTGGAGTTCTATGGTAATACTTAACACTAACTGCGCCTTCACTGTGTGTACTTTATTATATACGTAAGGTCTATCATATTTTACAGTGAAAATGTATAAAACACAAGGGCAAGTTTATTTGTAAAAATTAAGACAACAATTTGAATACTACATTCATATTTGGTAAATTATTGATTAGCATTATGTTAAGTTTAAAATATCCGTTTAGCTGTTACTGTTTTCATACTTTCCTAAATTTCTTTCTCTTTCATTTTTGGTATATACTGACTTATATATATAGTTCATATTTTAATCTTTTGTTCTTTTAGGAAGAGTATAATGTTATATGCGATTTGCATCTTTTTCTATCTGTTGAATAAACCTTGTTTTAAAAAACATTCATGTCTATCGATGTCACTTTTCTTGGATACCAAAGGTAAGATGAAAATATATTCTACCTACGCGGTGTGACAAGATGAAACGGTGGGAATGCTGCGAGTTCCAGCAAATTCGCCTTTGATTTGACCACTTACGTCACGCTAGCCGTAACCAGTATGAATTAAATGCAAGGCGGAATCTGTTTTGCACGGTCCCTCAGTTTCTTAACACCAGTCTGCTTTCTTTTATTTTCATAAAATGATAAAACAAAATGTAATAAATAGCTTTTTAAGAAAAAAATAAAACCTCTATGGTATTGGTATCAAAAATATTAGTTTCTTTTTCTTTCATTATGTTGACAACTGTGCTAACATACAGGCGTGGATGGTGTAACGGTTAGCATGGTTGCCTTCCAAGCAGTCGATCCGGGTTCGACTCCCGGTCCTCGCAATCCTTTTGTAAAATTTTTATTAAACAGACCACAATTTATTCAACAGATCAAACAATTATATAGTAAACAACCTTGTTATATCATCTGTGAACATTTTATTTCTTCAACCCAAAAAGTAACATTTACTTGACGGTTTGTTCCTATTAATGTGTTAGATGCAAATTTGATATGCATGTTATACTTAATTGGTGTTGGCGCCAGCTCAGCCATTAAGACTTAGTCTCTGCTATATTGTGATATTTAGCGTGGATGGTGTAACGGTTAGCATGGTTGCCTTCCAAGCAGTCGATCCGGGTTCGACTCCCGGTCCTCGCATGCAATTTTTTTTACCACGTGTGCAGAGATGACATCAAACAACAAACAAAACAATTGTGCAGAGGTACATGTAGTATATGTTGGACCACTTTTCGTATTCATTCACCGAAAAAAAAAGAAAGACGAGAAAAAATATTTCCCTCCCTCTTTTACCCGTCTAAATGTGCCTATCTTCGTAAAAAGCAAAGCCTTGCAAAGGTTGTAGTATTTGCATTTGAATGAAGTTGTACAATTTACTTTCAAGACGGAATGCTCCATAATTAGATAGGTGTTTGAGGATATAAATGCTTCTTGGTCTGTTGTAATATGTGTAGTACGTAAAAAATGGCAAATGCTACCCAAATAAGAATTGTATGTACTCCTGTAGTGCTTGGCTACCACCTTCATGTGTTTTATTTGATTGACTCGAAATTGGAGTTTTCTTGTCAAAGCCACATGTTTGATGTCGTTTTAGCGTGTGTATTAAACTTAACAGGCAAGAGTTTACTTTCATTTGATGAAGTGTACAGATTACTCATGGTCGCCACCACATTACGTCCCCGATCGTGACTTAATGTTGATAATATTACTCCAGGAAGAGATTATGTGTTAAAAATAGATCGTGTGAAAAGCTGTATCGTTTAACCTATTCACCTCCTAGAAATCAAAAGCTTCTTTTATGCACTTCAGTCTTTAATTGATAGATATCGATTTTGGATTTAAACGCATGACATATAGAACTTGATAATTTAACATTGATATTACTCAGCTTCAAACTGTTAACTGACATGTATTTTGAACATTTAAGAACACAAACTTAAACTTATCATCCTAACAGCGATATGTGATACCATTGCGTTGATGTATAATTCGCTCTGTCGTTATCATCCATTCCATCTTCACAAGAAAAATGCGATTGTTGTGACGAGTAGTAGCAATCAGATCTAGTCAGTATCGTAAAATAAGTGTGTGCAAGTGTCCGTCGGTGTCACTCGGTAAACATCATTCTCTTTTAGTTTAGCTTGCATTAATATATTCACGGCAAATACAGTTTCCATATATTAGGAAGGATTTCAATGGATTTTGTCTCATGAAAACAAACTGCGGAATTATGCACCGGGCTTTGGTGAGAGATGTCACCGACAAATTAAAAAACAAGTCATCAAAAGAATGTAAAGAATGGGTTGCGCTAAAAACCTAATTTATGCGCTGCAGCAACATCAGCTGATCATATTACACCACCTAATAATTCTAGGTCACAGTCAGGTGGCTACATGTTTTTCCCAGTCACAACCAGCGCATTTTTGGACTTCATCTCTAGAAACCAGCGTTCTATTAATTCATTTAAGCGACCACTCGAATTCTTAACAGCATTGTGATCAAGAATCATATTTAATACAATTCTAATACTCTACTCTTCAACTGGATTTTTTAAAAAAGTCATTTTGAATATCAATAACCTTAATGTCTGCAGTATGTTGTAAGAACGGGAGTTAAATAGTTAATTTTTTTTATAAATGATGTGATGAAATTGAAATTAATGGTCGAATTCCTTCTTCTATTTTTGAAATCCCCAAAAAGTATGAAAGGCACCAGAAAAAGTATTTCTATGGAGTTATTCTTTCCCATCCCTTCACTCTGTTTCATTTTCTTTTGTAGATGTTATCACGGTGCTTTTGTTTAACATAACGCGCCATCACGTATAGCAAATGGTTGCAGCGGCTGCATTGTCTCGACCCGAACTATACCATTAAATCTTTCTTTATCGTGACATTAACAAGTGTTTTCCTAAGTCAACATGTACGTGTCCATGGCTTATTAACGTTTAACAAAACTTGAAGCGCACGAATCTGCAAAACGTTCGTATATCGTACTAATTGAGTATTTTAGTGAATTTTTTGAGAATATTTGCAAGGCATTTGCGCATACTTAACAGCAGGTGCTTTTTCTTTGATTTTTTTGAGGGGGGGGGGGCGGGGGGAAGGGAATACCTTTACAGGTAAAGGGTTGCGTGATCCACTGTGAACCTTCTAGATCCTCCTCTCTCTCTCTCTCTCTCTCTCTCTCTCTCTCTCTGTGACTGTTTGAGTGTGTGAGTGTGTGTGCGTGTGAGCATGTTGCGTGCGCGAGTGCACAGACACGTGTCGTAATCAAATAAAACTATCCAGTTTCATTAAGAATCGCGCAGACTCGTTTGTATGTACAATATATTCTTGAAATACGTACGTTTGCGTTGATACAGAACCGCGCAAGAATGCGTCAGCTCATGACTCTTGGTGACCCATTATTACATGAGGCTGAACAAGACTTAAACTGATTCGGAGATATTCTGAAGTATTTCATGAGAATGTTCTAACCGTCTCTACACCTCCGTGAGTGTATCGTATGTCTTTCTGCAGGCCTACATGGAATTACAATGTATTATACCGCCCTCTTTATTTCCCCTAATGCATTATGTACATGTGTAAAATGTCTCTTTCTTTTTTCTCCGAGTAAGCAAAATGACTTGCAGATTATTTCAGCTTTAAATTAACTGATAAACTGGTCCTGTTAAATCATGTATTGAGTAGCATTACTTCCTGGTACAGACTAGAACATTCAAAGAACACATGCTTCGCTGATGCGATTTATCTGGAAATAATTGGGTGAATTTTTTTCGGACTTATAATTAGGCAATTTGTCATAAGTGAACTTCAAAGGAAACACCAAGTTCCAGGCCGCTTTGAAAAATATCAGGTTAAAAGGGACGCCTTGGAAATGTAAATCAGAATTGTTCGATTTAGATGACGGATATGATTAATATCAACACGCAAAAGCGACTCCTTTCGGTTGCTCACCGGTTTCAGCGCTGCCACGCGACCCTCACCCTCCCCAAAGTTATGTGAGTTTAGTCAATTGGTTTTCTATGTATGACATAGACACCTATACAAAAGAAGGAGCACGAAATGAAAAGAGGCAATTAATATCGGGATTGATTTACAAGCATGGCGGTGCACACATTATGCATTATTATACATATTTGCATTTATAAACATGCAAGGACAGGTTGGCGATTCACTTTCAGAACTATCTGTTGGGGCGAACGCTTCCTCGGAAGAAAGGGATAGCCGCTTAAAAGGTAAAATGACGGCTGCAAAGGCACTGCTTACGGACATCAATGTATTCATCCAGTGACGCTTTGCGCCTACTTAACGTACATTGACTTTCATAGTTTGAACTAGTAAACAAAAACACTGGCTATTTGTTCCCTAATTTGCGGTTTGTTATGTACCATAAGGTGCTACTTATAAGTGTGGAATATCAAACCAAACTCATGTTGATTCAAGAATCTTAAATCCTGTTGAGAAGATAGCTGCATTACTAGGAGAATTTCTCTATTTTTGATAGATACTGGTACACCGAAACTTTTATTTCATTTATTTCAGTCCAGCGCCAAAATGAACATAAGGTTTACAGCCTGCATAGCGATAGTTTTAGCAGTGGTGGTCCTAGTTTCCACGCGACCCCTGAACAAGCGGCAGTGGATTAAAAGACAGAGTGCAAAGGCCAGAGGGCATGGAAGGAGATTTAATACCGCTGGCAGTATACCAAAGCTTCCCCCAAAACACACACGGCATATCATTAAAGAACACGGAAAAGGTAACTATTATTTGAAGCGAAAAATACAAGTTATTTTAGGAGTGGAGATTTGTTCAATTGTAAAGTTTATCATAAATGGCACAAAAAGATATTCGACGAAAGTTAACAGCTGCAACAAAATGTAGACGAAACAGCCAATCCAAACTTAAATTTCTTTTGGTTAACTTTCAAATCTCAAGTTTAAGATTCCAAACATCTGTCCTAAAGTTAGTTTTCTTACACCTTCTTTAAAATGGACAATTTTTCTATTTAAAGTTCCGTTCGTGAAAGTCGACGGGGAGGTGAAATCTTCCTATGGCAAATTGATCCTGACTGTAAAGCCATATGCTGCTGAATCATCGGGTAAGTATAGTCCATCATGTTTTTTTGAAATTTTTTTAGTTTTTGAATGCAAATATAAGCAATGATCTTTTGTTTAAAACTTATTTAATTACAGAATACATTAACGTTTTTTTTAACTTCGAGTTAAAACGTTTAGATTTACCATAAATAAATAAATAAATAAATAAATAAAGGAATAAATAAATGAAAAAAGATTAAAGCAAAAAAGGAAAACAAAAAATAAGTACTTAAACATAAATTATGTGCGAAGAAACAGATTTTGTGACATTGAAAGTTAAAGTGAAGAATTTTTTAAGGAGGCTCGATATAGAGCGCATGTCCCATTTTGAAATTTAATAAAATAATTATTTATAATAGTAATTATAATAATGATAATAATAATAATTCATTTTAGTCTACCAGTAACTCACATCTGCATATTAGCCAAGTTTATAATGTTTTAATATACACTTTACTGTTAAGAGTGACATTAATTTAAATTTAATTAAAACGCCATTGGGTGGCAGGTGAACCACAATTTCTTTTTTTGGGGGGGGAGTGGGGGGGGGGTTGGGGGAGGGGGGGGGGAGAGATATTTAGACAAAAAAATCATCACTGTCTGAAACGAGTTATTCATTATGAATGAGAATTTTTCGCTTTTCTTTAGATATGTACACTGTAAAGCCAGTGCTTCCACTTTGTACATTTACCACTTGGAAGAGATCCTATCTGTTGTAGCATTATTCACACTTACAGTGCTTTTTCATTTTGACTGTAAGGTTATGCTGTAAAGGTGGAATAATTATGGCTCGCACATAATTTAATGTTGTCGAGTTGGCCAATCTTTTACATGGTCAATTGTCCGTGTGACGTATGTGAGTCACATTTGCATATGAAGCACTTACCGTATCCTGGTAAACTTAAAACATTACACCTATCAAAGTTCCAAATGAATTAGCGCATTTTTCTCAGTGGGAATTCTCGTTATTTCTTTGCATACATTAGGGAGTGTACATGTTTTACAGTTATCATGCAACAGGCCCGTGTGCAATGGAATAACAAAAAGGTGTGATGTACTAGTCCATTCATCGGTATCACAATCAATGCGAGTGCCGGTGGACCATTGGACGACTCCGCCATTGCCATATTGTTTATGTTTATACAATTGTCTGACGGTGTGATATATTATATAATATATAATGGCGTTGACATGAGTCCAACCCCTTTACAAATGAACTGACAAGCATATTTTATACCACCCTAATGTCCTTTTATTTTCACACGGTTAGGTACTGAATAACCAGAATATTGATGGGGGAAAAGAATTTATACGCATATTTCATTTTCATTCTTTAGTTCATTCGGCCCACTCTTTATTGATAATGGATTTGGTACTGTATATAAGCCGTGTTTTATAAAAATAAGGTGCCTAAAGCGTAATTTGAATGTGTGGAAATACAAGTATGCTACGAGTGCGTATACATATATAAGAATTATCTCCCTGAGTAGGAAATCGACCATTTCCACTAGTGATACTACATTATGTGTATTTATGTATTCTCGCTTCTTGAAAGCCAAGTTTATAATAACACGTGCACATATCACGCTATTAAGATTTCATTTATCGTTGTCTGGAAATGTTCAATTTAATTATGAGAAACAGTATGTTTTTGCAGACATATAAATTCTTGATGTGTGTTCAATGCAACTGTCAGTATGAAATATGTCTCGTCATTTTACATATTTAACCTAATTCACAAAATTTCCATTAAGCCATCCAAAATTTCAAATGGCTATTTCATTACTGACAGGGTTATTTACAACCCCCAACACTGTCTATTTTAATGCATTGCATCACATTCGTACTGGGAACACTTTAAAGGTACAAATTCGTACTGGGATTACTTTATAATTACAATTTCAAAATGTTTTCATTTCATGAAAAAATCCCTATCTTATTATAAAATACGCAAGTTATAAGGCTACACATATAAGTACCATGGCAATTAGAATAAAGCATTTGATTGTAAATTAAATATATACCTTTGCGTTATGAGTTGGTATTGGCGAATTGGTCAATTGGTTTCGTCCAGAATACTTAACTGGTCGACCTCAACGCCTGCTTTGATCAATTTTAGTTGCCGAAGTACTTCGAAATGAAAAGATACGTCACGTATACTCTGGAAACAAGAGAAAAGGACGAGGAGACGCCATCATTGTGGAAAACGCCCAACAGAGGTATGTCGATATGTTTCATGCATGTCATCAAAACTGACATTTTAATAATAATAATATAATAATAATAGGTTTTAAAAAACCTATTGCTTTAATTGTTGTCGTGGTAGAACATGAACAAATCCACTTCCAGGGAGATAACTTTTTGATTCTGAAGAAATTTGATCACATTATGACACAAACTGCAGAAACATATGGGAAATATTCCACATATAGAATAAAGTTACATATAGTAGTGTACTTGCATCAAAGCTTCTATCAGATAATTTTTGTGGATTTTCAGCAACTTGGAAAAGCTGCGGAGTCGCCCAGATCTTTTCACAGAAATAGAAGAAGACACCACTGTATTTAGCATGGCCTGTTACGCCCATATCGTAGACATGTACACACGTTACACCTGGGTAAGAGCTCCTTATATTATTTATGACATGTTTTACAATAGGGCTTTTTATATGAAGATTTTGACATATTTTAAACAAGGGCATATCCCCAGTATATTAGATCAATGGCGTATTTCAGATGGGTCTCCTTCTTGACATAAGACTTATTGCTCTTTCTTCAGTATTTGACATTTTTATATCTTGGGCATTCAAAATTGACATTTTCATTTAGTAAATGACATTGGATAGTTTGATAATTTTATTTGACATATATATGTCTTGACAACAAGATTAGAAATATGCAATATCTCTACTGGCTTTTATATATATGGGTTTATATATTTCGTTTGATTGATACGCGACGAAAAAATGAAAAGCTGTCTATGTGATGGCTGTATTCATGATAACTGACGGGCACCACCAAAAAGAGGTCACGATATGGAAAAAAAACTCTCAAATACATACGCACTGTTCTTTTTATGACCTTATTATGGGGGTATCATTTGACATGCTCTTGAAAGTTTTCACCAGATGACTCTTTAGCACGAGGTAACATTACCATTTCGAGTGGTGCACACTTCAAATATGGAAATCAAAAGGGCAGCTTATATTGCATTATCAACTGAAACCAAATTAATTAAATATAACGTCATGTGCGAGATTGCCAGTGTTAATTCTTCTATTTTTCTCCTAAAGACACATCATAATTAATCATTCTTTTGAAATTTAATTGAATGAAAATGTATTTATTCATTTCCCGTTCTCCATAATTTGCAAACTAAAACAATTCCCACAACAATGCAGCTCTCTACATACTGTATATTCAGCTTCCCCTGTATATTCTTTTGTCGGCTGGATATAAATTTGTTTCCAAATGACATGTCTGATAATTATTTTCATTTTCCTTTAATAAAGGGTCTCGACCGTATCGATACGCCTAGTATAAACTGGGACAACCATCTTAACATTAAAGGAGACGGAAATGGCGTCGACGTTTACCTGCTAGACACTGGCATACGTAAAGACCATGACGAGTTTACGAACACTGACGGAAGTAGCCGAGTGGAAGATATTTACTTTTCCGTATTTGACGACGACGGCTCGGATGGACATGGGCATGGCACCTACCTTGCTGGCGTCATTGGGGGAAACACATTTGGTATAGCAAAAAAAGTTACAATAATATCGGTACGTACTGGTAAAGCATTTATTTTATTAGCTAGATCTGTCTGAAATTTGAAAAAAGGAGTTTGACGTAGTTAGGTGAAAACATTACTTGGGGGGGGGGGGGGGGGGGTGTGGCAAATAATCAATTATTAAAGTAACCGTGACAAAGTTTTGATAGGTAGCCTGGAACTTAATCGCATTGGTATTTGTAAGCTTACGTCAATGAAAGGTTGAAGATCATTTCAAAGCAAAAAATGGTTTAAGATGTAATGTTTAACTTCTTTTAACCAAATTTTTGACCCAAAAATCTTACAACAGCAAATGACAGTAGAATTCATGTCAGCAGTTATATGATTGGATAATTCAATTCCAGGTCAAAGTTATGCGTCCAGATGGTAAAGGTGACACGAGTGACGTCCTGCGCGGCATAGAGTGGGTGAAAAATACCACAAGATCACGTGGTCGAAAGTCATTGGTGAACATGTCGATAGGGGGAGTTCTGTCTGAGAAATTAAACGACGCTGTGCTTGATTTATTGGATGAGGGCATTTTACCTATGGTGGCGGCAGGTACAGTCACATAAATTTTTCATACGTAGTTAAGGTATCATCACATTTTCAAATTAATGATTTTCCGGTTTCGTTATTGGCTGGCATTAATTTACCTCTATGTTTTATGGTAATGATATGATGTTGGTGAAAGACTTAATTCATATAGCTTCATGTTATCATATACATTATACATGTTTTTTATTTTATCTTAAGGGAATGATTATGGTGAAGATGCATGTGGCTATTCTCCAGCTTCTGCTTCCGGTGTGATGACAGTTGGTGCCTCAGACCCGTAAGTTTAATTTTTCTTTTTTTTTTTTATCATAAGGTCTTGCTGGAAAATGTATCTTATCCAAAATTGAGATAATACTTGCGTCTGTATTATTTAATTGTCTTTAACTGTTGGCAAAGCAATGGCATTCTGTATTAATTTGGTCGCACAAAGTAAACGGAAGTGGCAATTATACTTTTTCATTAGTTTTTGAAATCAACAAATAAATGTACTTCAAAACTGCAATCGCCCATGTGGGCAAGTGTTTTCCCTTTACTTTGAATCAAGTTATATACCATGAAGCAACTGAGAGTGGAACAGTTACTTCACCGTACTAGTATAGGTATTGTACTGGTAGGTCTATGAGCCCCATGATTTAAAAAAAAAAAAAAAAACGAAAACGGCACCATAGTAATTGTTCACTTTATCTCGTTATTTACTTCCAGTTATGACGACGTCGGTTACTTTTCCAATACTGGCTCCTGTGTGTCAATCTATGCCCCCGGAATGTGGGTGGAGAGCGCTTGGCCCACCTCGACCTCTGACACCATGACCATCAGTGGAACTTCCGTCGCTACTGCGCATGTCACTGGTGCTGTTGCCGCATATCTGTCAACTCTGCCTGTTGCTCAGGTAAAAAGTGCTTGTTTTATAAAAAATATGATTCGTTACAACTGGGTTATGAAAATACATGTACATGTAACCCTTAAAGTTAGCAATGAAAGGACATCAGGTGTAAATGATATACTTTAAAATGACATGTACAAGTATTTTCCAAGTCATTCAGGCTCTTTTTCTACCAATAAATAAAAAGGACCGAAGTTAAATACGTGTTTTCGCTATGTACACTTCAACCGTTTCTTTTAATGTATCATATATATACACCGGTACCGTATATATACCAGTATCGGCACTCAGCATATAGTGCTCGTTTTAAGGGACCGTCTTCATTTTCATCCTCCTATTTACAGATGACAGCAGAAATTGTCGCAGAAACCAGATCAAAATTTATAGCAAAAGCATCGCCTGTTCTCGGCACCAAGAACCTCCCATTGTTGCAGGTGGTCACATGTTGAATAAGGAAATAATAAACGCTATATAATCTCTACTGCAATTCCGGTTATGGAAGTGGAAACAACCATGAAGGCTTGAAGAAAGACAGTCTTTTGTAGATTTATCCAACAACTTCAGTGACATGAACTGAAATAAGATTTGGTTTTGAAGCATTGGGAATTGTAATAAAAATCTGCTCAAAGATGACTGTGCACTTTTTTAAATAGTGCAACGAATTCAAGTCGATAACAAGAAGCGTGAATGTATTCTCAAAGACTGTGAATTTGAATAGATACATGTACCACCTACCAGGTCGTGGTTACACCTGACTCACGTAGATCTAATCTACGTCCATCTTCAGATGGCGTTGGCAGTTCTTGGTGCTATGAGGTCGGTGGCAGCACAGCATTGAGTAAAATGTCCAGCAATATAAGGATGACTGAAGTGATGCTGTGCAGACACCTGAATTGCATTTTACTAATAGTTGTTGACCTTGAACAGTATTGATTTAACTAAACTGAACGAGACCACGGACTACAACGGCCTACCGTATACTGACCTCGAAGCGACGACAATCACATTCTAAGTTTTGGCCGTGCCAAACTTTTATATCAGAGAATCCGGTTAAAACTCTAGAGAAAGAGAGATTTAAGGTCATATGTCGTATGGCCTTAATAATCTTTTGAGAAACGTAGTAAGAGGTAACTACCTCTTTCCTGAATGTCAGTGCAGCCACGTGTAACTTTTTTTCGTACATTAGTCCATATCTTTTGTTTTCTATTCATTCATATTTTCGTTTATTTATTTATTTATTTATTTATTTATTTATTTTATTGATCACTGCTGAGTTTAGCCTTGTTAAAACTCGTTCCCGCAGCATTTGATCACCAGTATGACTTAACCTTTAATCGATTCTTGTGCAGCTCGCTACAAGTCTACTCAGTGCAATTTATCTTAAGCGTCTATGATGCTATACATATAACAAGTTGAAGTGGTGATCGGGGATACAGGAAAAATGATGTTATAATTTTCATTTAGTTGGATTAATGCAATGCTAAAATAATAAATGATGATATTATTTATGGAGTTTCACTTGGAATATGAACAGATAGTTTTTGTTAAACTGAGTTCCCATAAACCTATCGTACTACCAGGATCGACCTAACTTAGAGGGGATTCTCGCTAAATTGCATTCAGTTTAAGCGGCTTAAATGTCTGCCACGTCCACTGAGTTGCTACAGGGGGTAACTAACTTCCGTGCACGCTTAAATTGAATGCTTTAAACTGATAGCGATAATCCTGTCGGAGATAGATCGAGCCTGCTAGTATGTTAGTGTTATGGGAATGCTCCCAAAGTTTGCTGGTGTTTGGGCAGGGCATTCGTGGCATCCAGTCAAGGGGGGGAGAGAATACTGGACCACACTGGTATAACAGATAAACTAAGGGACAGCCAGACCCACACGCACATCTTACCGGTTATATACCGCCAGTAGTTTCATATTGTGAACAAACATACCGGTACACACACATTTAAACTTTGCTCCAGAAAAACACCTACATTCATCAAATAAATACAATTAAGCCGTTTTCTTGAGGTGTAACAATGTAGCAGCGCTGTACCATAGGAAAAAAATTCATAATATAGTCACCTACTTATGGAAGTTCAAGGTCACCGAGTCGCTAGCGGGTACAAACTGTTCAGTTTGACATTGTTCCCCGTCTAAAAATAACAACGTTAAACGCGACAGGGAATACAGGTGCACACGGATCCATGTCAACCTCCAAGGTGAACGCGGAGAGCAAGGTTAGTTCATTTTAATTATTTTTTGGGCAACTAAGAAAGGTTTAACTGACTTGATAAAGATATGATAAATGAGTATTTTGGTATCTACTCTATCATTTTTGCTATAACATACCTGCATACCTAACAGGTTAGATGTTTGGAGAATAGACTGCAAAATATCATATCAGATGAAATAATCTTTTTTTAGAAAAGAAAATGATAAGTACTTCAATGTTTCATGTAACAAATTCATTGATGATCAGAAACATTTAAAACACTCTATGTGTGTCCGGCCTACTGAAACGAACATTCAGTTAAGATATATAATCGGAATTCATTGAGATTTTGAACTGTATTAAAGTCCCTAGCGTTCTGTCGAAAGAAAGAAATTATAGAAAAGAAATTTGCGTTGGTATTTACACAAAACGCTTAAGGTAAAAAGTTTAGAAATGAACCGGCGTTGATTTATGACCAACAGGGGTTGATATTTACCACGCACATTTGCTCACGGTTGGTGTTTTTGTTTCGTCTTTGTTCCCTATGACATCCTTGCTGCAAAGGGTGGTAAAAAGTAACTTACATGGGTAATGAATTGCTCTGTTGCGTGTTGTTGAATTTTGGTGACTGGATCTTTATTGTTCTTACTGTGTATCTGTTTATGATCGCATCTCTAGTTCTGTAGGCAGGCCCACGCGACAAATTCATCATGTTCTTACGAACGCCTTCTAATATGTAGACGTGAAAGAGTTTGTAACAATTTATGCATGTACCTTCATTACTTTATCAAATGAAATCACGGAAGTCATAGGACTGCTTAAAAAACGCTAAACATTTCCTTTCCATTTTACAATTTAAATTAAAAAACGGAGCCATTTACAGTATGACAACTTTTTTAAACCAGTAATGATGTATACAGTAGTGATAAATACCTGAAAAAAATTCATGTCCTCTTCCAAGCAGTACATGATTTGAATATTACCCCTATTTGCCAAATTATCGTTATTATTAACACGGGGTGTGAACGGGGTAAATGTGATTGAGCACCACCCCAAAATAGTTTACCCCAAAATAGGTTACACTGTCCTGCTTTCATGTTTTACCACAATTGGGAGTGCTAAGTTCGCATATCCAGTAAATACCTTCCTAGGCCCGTAGCCGGGGGGGGGTAGGGTTTTGGTCTGGGGGTGTTCGAAAGAACAACCCCTTTTGCTGGGTAAAATTTGAGCCAAGTACATAAAGTTTTATGGCAAAAGGTCCAACTTTTTCAGAAATGAACCCCACCCTCACTTTGAAATTGCTGGCTATGGGCCTGCTTTCACTGTCAAATAGTTTTTCGCCCATACTACCGCGCGAGGTGACATAACCCATCTGCCGCACAAACAGGGTTCAGGGCACTCATAGGTCACTGTTTATTTATTTCCACTGACCGATTGGTATTTTATGAACGCCACGGAGATTACACAATGCGAGGACCTTAGATGACACGAAGGCGCTGAATATAAAATTGGGAAGGAATTTTATTTTGTAGGTGGTATCAGTTACATGAATTGTTTATTCTAAAACACGAAGATCTTGAACGATATTACACTTTTTCAATATCACAAAGTTGTGTTGGCATTTAACGCTATGCCTCGGGTGGCGAATATACAAAATGATACTCCAGAGTCAAACCGTTTGACGCATGTGTTCCTTAACATATAGTTATCTTACTCGGTATCGAATCGTAGATTACAAAACGCGTTTCCTTAAATGACATGAGCGCGTTCAATAGAATAAACAAGTTATGATATCGAATGTCGTTCAAATACGACCACGGTACGCCAAGGCACAATAAGAGATCACTTTACTTGACTTGCGTAATTATTGTTCTTTTGTTGCTCTAACTTTTATATTAACCCCGGCTGACCTAACGCTTACATAGGAGGAATGGACTGTTCGTTCTCACATACAGTTACACTGTATGATTTGATACATACAGTAGCTTCTTCAGTAGCTTCTTCACAGTATAGGAAAGTAGTGACCTACAGAGAAAATAATATGTTGATTTGGTCCGTCTGCCTTTTTGATTGCACATAGTTAAAGCAATTACGCTCCAGAAAAATATCTCCTAGTGACATTTGCTTAACTCATCTTAACTTAGGACCCAGTAAGCCGCTGTTGGACCGTTTATCCAAAGGTCCATTCAGCATAGGTAAATTTTGCCCTGCATTTCGGAATTTTTTTCTTACACTGAAATTTACTATTACTAACAGTTTTGATATATCTGGTGCGCTGAATTTATACCATTGCATGTATTCGCTCGTTTTTAAATTTCCGTGTGATAGATTTGTTACGCCAGTATTTTGGTTTTAAGTCGCGAAATGGTAATCAGTAGCAAAAATTTACTTTCAGCTGCAGTATTGTCCAGTTCCCACGATATTTCAGGATTCAATAAATGAGGTATTAAAACCTTCCTTAATTTGGTTGCCATTTTTTTGTAGGAGATCACACTAAAACCCCATTTCGGCAATAATTTAGAGTCGCTAGCCTCAGAGGCCCTATGATGAAATAAAATATGGAAGACAATCTTTTCCCATGTCTGTTCGGGGTTTATTTTGAAAAAAAAAAAAAAATTATAATTCTAGATTAATTCTCAAAAGTCAAACGTGTACGTGTTCTCTCGTGCTTAGGTGCTTCTTTGAACAAGATGTTCAAAGAAGTTCAGCACCCGAAGCGACATAAGACAGCTTTTCTCTTCGCTTTATCACTGAACAACAGCGTCATTGACACGATATTTGTCATTATCTACTCTGTTGACCCACGGACGACCCATTGTAATTATATATCACATCTAGTGTTAAACAGCAAAAATCATACAATGACCGATTTAGATTTCAAAGATCCGTTTAACATGACGCGAAGAAAGAGCAGCAGCTAAGGTTTCTTTTTCTTCAGTTTGCCAGGGCGCGTAAAATAACGAGTTGATCTGAAACTTTTTAGGTGGATCGTTGGGTTCGGGCATTCGTGATGCGTATCGCTTCGCTGAACTGTGAAACTGTTATTTGCAAATAAAGGTATCACATAAAACATAGACATTCATTTCATATATGACACTGACAACACACTGTATAAAATTTCAGTTTATTTAACGTTTTATATACATGCATTAGCAATGACATGCTATGAAATCCATTAGGTTGATTTTTCAGATTGTTAAGGTATGTGAAAGAATGTATTCATCGTATGTTTTTGATAAAACCTTTAATTTTGTTACGGATTAAAAACGCCGATGAACTGATGAACCATAATACACTGAGATAAAATACTGTGGAATTTATGGGACAATTGTTTTTTTTTGACTGCACCGAGTACCGTGTCCTTGAATTTTTAACATTTTTGGGGGCATAAAAAATCGTGAGAGCAAAAAATCGCATTTACATAAACTTTTCCGTATAGATAAAAGTTGAAGGTAGGGGCCCGCGCACCAATTTTTCTTCACAAATTATAATTATAAATTAGGATAAAAATGAAATGAAAAGAGAGAAACTAAAAACGAAGGGACAAAAGTAATTGATGTCCTGAATATACATGTATTATCGCTGTCATCATAAATATAAAATACTGTGATCCACCATATGGGTAAATGTAATATTAGACAGAAGCAATACAAGTAGGACTAGATATTATTACGTACTAGTAATACTGCTCGTGCTGTTATGTTATACTAAAAAACTGTTAAGAAGTAATTATGTCATAAGTTTATCAAATTTATAGGATGTATAATGCATAAAATCAGGGATTTCCTTTAACAATTCCTTTACTCAAAATTCATTTCCAATTCTTTGTGAGGTCAATAAATTATTCCCAAATTAATTCTAAAGGATAGAGTTTGTCAAACACATAATTCGCGGTGGTAATTGTTACTGCAGGCAATTTCTTTCTCTCTCTTTACA